CCGCTGCCGCGCCTATTTGATTTTACGCATAAGATCCTGCCGCTCCCGCGACGCCGCCGCTCCCGCCCCGCTGCCCGCTAAACTCGAGGCTGAGGCCTAAGGCAGAGACCTGCGTCTCTGTCTCGCTTGCGAACTGTCGCTTATACATTGTCTATAATCAAGTAACGTTCGCGGTCTCCCGTCTCGGTCTCGCGTCTCGGTCTCCTAGCTGTGTCTGTCGCAGTGCGAACCGCTGCCTTAACTTCACCTGGTACAACACATTTTATAAGCAGAGATTAGGTAGTACCTGCCAGCTTTATAATTTTTGTATATATCCCCAATTCCCCATAAGTTAAACATCAACCGGAAACCGCACGTCAAAACTATCGCATTAAATTGATCGTCATAGGGGCACTATAGGGCTTCTCAGAATAACTATTTCCAGTTTGTATACATTACATTAAAGATGGAGGAGGCTTTTACCCAAGTGGGGCCACAAACAAGAGATATAGATTAATTGAATCAAACTGTAAAAATGTGGAATACAAAGCTATAATAATAATAATAATACATTACATTACACAACAACAATAATGTCATTGAGCAAAAATTCATAGTACCTATCTACGCACAAGGAGCATTTGATTTCTAAGGAGGCAGCTTTAGCTGTATTTAAATAGAATCAGAAATAAAAGCTTTGGTTTCCACAAAGCTTTCATTTATATTCCATCCACAGCATCTTTATTAGTCCTTCTCAAACTACTGGTGTAAACTATTAAAGGTCTAAACTGAAGGTTTTTTTTATGTATTTGATTATAATTTGTTTTTAAAATGATAGAACAAATATTTAATTGTAAAGTAGAATAACCCTACACTACAAGCAAACGCAAAGTTAGAGATAAAAAATTATCTACAAAAATATCTCCAAGGAATCTTCAACTTAATTATTTTCTTTTTGGGAAGCCAGATTATTCCTTAGCCTAGCCTTTTAGTGGGTATCCCGATTCCCATAGCATTTTTTCCAGGAATATGCATAGTTTCCAATATGCTCAAGTCAAGCTGTGTGCCTACACTTGAATTGTAAAAAGAAATAAATTATTTAATTTTATAGAATAAATCTTTCTCCAAATATAGACACAAGTCTATCTCCTTCTATTTGTTCAAATGTTAAATCACTGACCATGACACTAGTAAATAGATAAAATCTTTACATGATAATATCTTTCAATCATACCTAAACAATGTTAAATGGTGAAATTGACTCGCTTAAAAAAATGGGTGTCAACAACACCATTAATCACTTGATATACTTTTTATGAAGTGTCAGAATCTCATTAATTTTATAGCAACGGAACCTTAGACACAGCTTGTTCACCAACTTAACAGAATAGCTTTCAGCTGATTTCAAAGCAACTAAAAATCTAATTTTACGGTTATTAACTGCCTCAAACATAAATATTTAGGTTTAGTTCTTATGACATTTGCCGACCTTATCCCTTATTTATAAAACCAAGCAGTTGTTATGGTTGAAAAATTGATGTATCAATTTAAATGTAATTGTTTGTGCCTTTAGAATATTTTCATAATGAAGATTTTTGAAGATTACACTTAAATTTCGTATGTTTATAAACCTTGATACAATAACTTATACCTACATAATAATCTCTTCCCATTTCTATGTAATTCATCATTTTATGGTGATTCAGCTGAAGAATTAGCAAAATATTGGTGAACAGCATTCAAAACAATGGAATCTAAATATAGATTTCAACATCAAACAACGACTTGCACTTTTAGAACAAAGAAACCCAGTGCTTTAAAATTATAATTAGCTTAATTCAATTTATACTTTGTGATACTAACTCCATTTGAATATATCTTTTGTAGTAAAGCAGTAAAATGAACAACAAAAACACCTGATTCATCAATTTACAAAGAGTAACCAGTTTGAGGTTAAGTTTGGAGCATACAACTCATCATGCATATTCCAAATGACTGCTCAATTATTTTGATAGAGTCATCAACTTGAATTATTAGACACTAGATAATGTGTTTCAAATTGGGTTATAAATTGTACACAATGAAAACAATCTATACAGTGTAGGTATGCCTAAATTTCATTATGCAATTGATAAATAATAGAAAATCAATACTGATTGTGTAGGTACTGACCATCTTGGGTCTCCATCTCCTCGACCTGGTTCACATTGGAGTCGTTTTGCTGCCTGTCCGGGGCAGGCGAGTGATTCATGTTAGCCGGGCGCGCCACCGGGGACTCTCGCCCGCAACTCTTTGAAATTTCCTGGACAAGCAGTTTCACCATGAAGACAAAAAATATTTTCCACTTTTAGCACATTTGACGTCTCATTACAACACTTTACCCACCTTTAACGCCAGGGGATTGCTCCCTCTAGACCTGCTAAAAATTCGTTGAACGAATTTCAACGAACTTTTCTCATCGACTCGAGCACCCTGCGCACCGGGGCTTTTACTTTTCTTGGATGTTAAGATGTTAATTTTAAAAGAGTGTTTACTAGCGGCGCGGCCGATGTCTGCAGATTTCAACACAAGGGCCCGACAGTAGATAGGTACGCTAATAGCACATTCCTGATGGTTTAACCACTGACTGGCTTACTATAGCACTTGACTTTGCAGCAGGGTATTACAAAAATTCACTAACGTATCCGGGTAGAAAGTTATTTTCGCGAAAATAAACAAAATGGTGGATGATAATTTAATTTCTGGCTTCGGATGTGTGGCCCGGTTTGATCGACGAATGCACCATTTTATCATTCTCCCACATTCACCATAGTGATGTGCGCTAGCTCATGTAATCGAACAGTATTGTTTCTGATTCATACAAACAAATTGTACTTCGCAAAGCACAAAAATTGTTTCAGGTATAGCCTGACCAGGAACATAAAAACCCTGGCGTAGTGGCGCGTCAATTTCATTTGATAGTGCAACACTGAGTACAGTCGTACCTGTGTTAAATTAATAGGCTAACTTTATGTATCAGGATTCAGGATTACGGGCTAATTTGATATTTTCATAAATTAACGAAAAAATATTATTATAGGTAACCTGATTTAAATAAATTAAATGAAACCATCAATCGAGCTAGTAGAATTTATTTTATTATTCATCAATAATCAAATTCAGAACTTGAATATTCAACTGCAATGTCTGCTCATGAACGCTTCAAACTCGGTACTTCTTTCCCAATCCCATAAAATTCAACACTTAGAAAGTGTCAAAAAATTTTAAAATAGGTAGTTGAAACAAACCACAGCTAATTTTCATAGTGGACTGTACTATACGATAAACATGTCAGCCAATTTGACAACCTTTGTCGGAAACATTATTCAATGAAAATATTGTCCAAACCCTTAGTATTTCTCTTCGGCAAATACTTTTACACATTGTGAACCACTTTTCTTTCACGACTATAAAAATATTTTAGCAATTTAATTCATAAAACCAATTGCGCACATTTAAAATAAACTTTGTTTACACTTTGACAGCAATAGACTGACATGCAAGGTGACATGTCAATGAAGTTTTCAGTTACTGTTGCCATTAAAAGAAATTAGTACCATTAGTTTTCCGCAACATGGCGAGGGTTTTTATGTTCCTGGTCAGGCTATAATAAAAATAACAAAAATGTTTCAATTATTTCTTGTGACCATTATATTAATATATATTTTTGGATTATACACCTATCCAGTATACACCTAATCCATCCTTCTACATAACGCGGTAGAAGTAAAATACCTTCTCGACTGAAAATGCCTAAGCCAAAATGCCAGTAAAAAAATAGGCACTATCGGTTCTTGTTAATGACTGTTGAAAATAAATGAAATGTGATTCTTTCTTAGAACCGGCTTAAAAGCTAGACAACCACATCAAATGAAAAAGTAAAAGTTACTCCGACAGGTCCTAACTCAAAACCATTCAATCAATTGATAATTGACCTGAAATAATTCACCACACTATATAAACTATATGGATTCTTAATATGTATTTGTAGTTTTGAAAATTTTTGCTGGAACACCAAATTCTCATCATATAAGTAAAAATGTTTCGCTCTCCCGACATTGATATCTGATCTGTCTGGATGAGTTTTTAATTCTTAATCTGATGATTTTGATTTCATGGACTTAATTCTCTCTCATGTCTCCATTAGTAGCAGCCTAGCAGCTACGTACGTAGAGTGTTTTAAATTCACCCGAACATCCTGATTGCAGTATCCCCCAAAAAACCGATCCGTTCGAATTTGTGATTCGAATTTCAAACAGACACTTTGTGTGTTCACTCGACCGTTAATTTTGCAGGATCCAGCATTACCCTGGAGTAATGAATGGATCATTTTGCAGGATCCCTTAAAACTGGATTGCTGCGGGCCCGCGGGAAAGGTTCCAAAGGAAAGGCGGGAATTGAACCCACGATAATTTTCAAATTAGTTTAAGATGCAACTCTTAACGCTAAAAATTAAAAATAACTATTGGTTCTTGTCTTTCAAGTTTCAACATCAGAATAAAGAAGAATAATTAAAGAAGTAATGGTAAACATGCTTGCTAACGAAATTTTTACCTTTTCTTTAAACTGATGATTGTTTGAATGATATACCTACTTACATAACCTTCATTTAATTTTCAAAACAGCAAAATTAATGAAATCTAAAATTTAATATATGGACAAGTTTTGTAAATGTTTTAACTGAAATCATTTGATGCATAAAATTTAAACTATTTTTTGATAAAACTTACCGTGAAGTTTACTTACTTTTAAAGAAAGTTATAAAAAGTGTTTTCAAATTATTAGAATCGAACAGTATTCCCGATTTCTCGTAGTAAATCGAACAGTACACAGCACTACGGTGAATAAAAAAAAAGATGCTGTCTATGACTTTAAAATGTTGCCAATTTTAAAAAATAATTTACGATATTAAGCGTTATAAATACCGTTATTTGCAAACTGTCAATGAAAAATGTCAACATTCAATCGGTCAAATAGCGTGAGCTATAAAAAACAGATGTTTTTTTGCCTTTCCCGGTGCGGTGTTTTGGCTGGTTTTGGCAAGAGTTAATTTAATTTTATACACTAAAAACAATGAATTCCATTTGGTCTAGTGGCTCAATCATATAATATTTATTTAGTATAAGTTGTGTTGATAACCATTTATTGTTTGTTTTCACTTCAACAATGTTCCCAACAAATCATAAAACAATATTTGTTTTGGATCACACTCCTTACTTTGGGATTTCTTCGGACTTTCCTATAGACTTCGATACATCAAAGAGCCGCGGTCCTGGCTATGTGCCTTTGCCGCCAGTTTGCAAGTCCTTGTGGACTTGTAGCGTTGAGGCTGCCGTTGAATACTGTAGAATAGTTTGGGATTTATTTCCTGAAGGGAAACTGGTAAATAATTTGCTATATTATCTATTTAAGAATATTTTCTACCAGACAGGCAGTCTTCAATAACTTCACAATATCTTTTATTTCAGGTACGATTTGTTGTTAGTGATTCTGCAGCTCATATTTTAAACACATGGGCTGTAACACAGCAAAATCTAACACATGTAAGTATTACTATGGACTGCTTTTGTCTGATAATAAATGATTTTTATTTTATTTTATTTATTTTTTTATTACACTTACTAATTTTTAAACTATAAGTTTATACTGCAGAATAGTAGTAGGTATAATAACACAAACAAGTAGCAGTGTAATAACAGAAACATGTTTTTCCGTTCCAGATTCTAAATGGATTATGCTTGGTGGGTCCGGTGAGGCGCGGCGCTGGTGGAGACGTGGTTGGCTTGTGTGCCGCTATAGAGGCTTTGGCTGAGCCCTCTCCTACGCAAGCTGCTCAGCCAGCTGCCGAGAGACTGTTACAGAATCGGTTAGAATAGCCTGACTTCAATTGGTACTTTGTGGAGGCTTAATTAATACATTGATTTAATAAGTCAAGATGGCCTGTAAAATTATTATTGAAAACTTTAAATTCTAAACTAGATTTGATTTAGCTTTGTTTTTGTTTTGTAGCCTCTTTAGTTGAGTAAATCCAAATAACAAGTACTAAGGGTAGACTAAATCTAATTTACTATTATTCTCTTCTTATTCCCTGACAGTTTTATAAGGAGTTATTAATAGTATTGTCAGTATTATAAGACAGAATCAGATTGCTTATTTACAACTCATACCTTTGTTTTAGGGGAAGAATAATATGCATAACTAGTGCAAGAGATGATGACTCCATAAGAAGTTTAGCAGGCATAGCGATGAACACACTCATACAGCAAAACAAGAAGGCGACTATGCCTCAGCCTTCCAACAGCCCGGAGGCATCAGCTGCTCCTACGTAAGTATAATCAGTATAAGTAATTATTTATAAATTCCTAAAGGCCTTTAAATTAGACTGATAATAAATAGAGTTATTCAATGGATCCAATATCTAGATTAACCGCATGTGGCCTTACATAATGTAGGGGAGAGTTCGGTATATTGTACCGCCGGGTAAATTGTACCACCCTTATATTTCTTAAACTATTTATTGAATGTCTGTAATTGCAACACTCAGCGATACACAACTAAAACCAATTAATATCGGCCATGTGGTTTTTGCCGTGACAACAAACACGTGTGTTTTATTTTGAAAAGTATTTTTTCATTGTTTTCAAGTAACTTTTGACAATACATGTTTAGATTGTAATTTTGTTAAATTTAATCACAGGGTGTTTCTAATATATTATTTAGAAGCGTAAATTAGTGTGGATTACAATTATTTGAAACATTTTTCGGTATTTATAAGCTATATTTTTTACCGATTTTTTAAAAGCACTATCACCTAGTCGGCTAAATGGACAACACGCATAAGTTGTAATATTATGTTAAATTATGAATTAATTTAAAGTTTAGATCACACACATTACACTAGTTTTTATTTCACCTCAATCCATCCAGTATTACCGAAGATAGAGCCACGAGAAGTTTACGGACTATTTAAAATTTTCAAAAATTTCCAATATTCGCGCGTGACGTCACAACATGATTTTGCAGCCCCCGCACGTTAACCCATTTACCACTTTTTGTCTTTTTCCAACTAATATAAAATTTTACCTAACTGACAACTGTTGTTAGTTGTCATCGTTCAATCACATTTCAAACGAGGCGCTATAAAAGTAACCATTATTATGCCACCTATTGCCAATTTTGTGCACTATGAAGCCATTTTTACATTTATGCACTTAAATATAATTTTTCTGGAAAAATAACCAAGTTTGTGTCTCTGTGCTCAATAACGAGTAAATATTCCAGTTATTTGTTAATTTTACTTGGAAAGTTTACCGGAATTTTTGAAAATTGGTGAATAAATAGATTTCGCTATGTTCTTTCCGAATTTTGTGACCTCGTTTATAGACGCGCGCGCGCCCGCCTTATTGAAAAAAATCCGCCTTAAAAAAGGTTTTTGACAACTACTTTTTTCATTTTATAATTTTTGGGACATAGACAAGCTAAGAAGCTTTGATAAATGTGATAAATTTCATGTAATGTAAGTTAAAATAGATTTAGAGTTGTGAAACAGTCAAATTATTGTACCTGCTAAATTGCGAGTTCTTTTTTCTTTGATCATGGCAGGGCACGCTGCTGGGTGTCCTAAATATGCTGAAGTATAAAAAAATTCGCGTTGCTGAAGTATACATTTTTTTTGTCTTGTTTGTTTCTACATTACATAATTGTATCCTACTATTATTATAAATGCGAAAGTTTGGATGTCTAGAAGTTTAAAATAAAGTAAAGTAATGTTTGTTTCTCACCAACATAACAGATAATTATTATGATAACAAACAATCAGGAAAAATAAAAAGTAAGAATGTTGGTGGGTTGATACCTGAACTAGGAAGATTCCTGTGTCTCAGGTTTGTTACTCTTTCACGCAAAAAGTACTCAACGGATTTTGTTGAAACTGTACAATATTATTGTTTGTAACCCAGATTAACATATAGGCTATAATTTATGCCGACCTGTGACACTAAATTTCACGCGGGTGAAGCCGCAGGCAAAAGCCTAGTCGTGAAATAAATAGGAAAGTTTAAGGTTCTGAAACGTGGTCGCTTACTATGTGCCTCATAAGAAGGCTCAAGGTCACCCAAAGGGTAATGGAGCGGGCTATGCNGCGGACTCTCCCTTACAGATTCAATCAGAATATTATGAGGATACTACATTTTGTTTTTATAATAAACTGTTTCAGATCTCTAGTGGTTCATTACTGTCACCTAGTGATCATAAATGTCACACCAGAGAAGGCAGACACGAGAGTCAACAACCAATCACTGACTGAGGTGAGCCTTGTACTAAAATCAAATTAAAACTAGTTATTATTGAAAATTACTGAATACAATTCAAACACACATGAAACTATGAAATCACACGTCTTTATGAGGATTTCTCTTTTACATTTTCTCTCATTCCAATGGCAAATACCTAACTTTGGAATGGTACAAAAATACTTGAATTATGTTTTTTACAGATGGGAGGTGGTCTTATGGGTGTAGAAGTGATAGTGTCCAGGGCCAGTAATCTAGCTAATTTGCTAGGTCGTTTGGTACTGCCACACTACAGGTTAGCAACCACCACGGTCACTGGTATTCCTATGAAGGTAAGATCTAGAAAATATGTTGATTTTATAACACCAAATTGTAATAATAGTTCAATGCAACATAAACTTTTCAGGGAAATGGAGATATTTTATGTTATGTTCAAAACAGTTCAATATAAAAATGTTTCACATGACAAAACTGTATCGCAAATTTTGCAGCGCGCTGGATCGCGATCCTCAGCAAACCTGTGCACTTAAAAACTGAAAGAACTGCTTCACGAAATTATTTTATTAAAACAGTATGTAACGATTTCAGGAAGAGCAAAATGCAAGCTCCAGTGCAAACTATGACGTGGAGATAATTCACTCGTCAGACGCTCACACAGGATTGAGGGCATCCCAGACAGCTGCTGAAGCATCGGAATCTGTAAGCTTTATTTACATTAGTTTCTGTGTTTTAGTTAATCAATCTCACTTCATCATAACCCCAAGTAAGCAAGAAAATTAAAATACTTATAAAGCACTTCTAGCTACTTAACTTCTTCTTCTACCTTCTGATCCTCTCACCACATTTCCCACAATGTCATTTTATAACATCACTAGCGGCCGCCCGCGACCTTATAAAAAATTCATAAAATTCATTTATTTTTGCAAATAGGCTTTAAAAAAGCGCTTTTACACGTCCCAATATTAACCCTACCACTGCTTCGGGACAATAAATGGGCAACTTCGTACACGTGGATCCCGTTTTACCCCCTTAGGGGTGGAGTTTCGTAAAATCCTTTCTTAGCGGATGCCTACGTCATAACATCTACCTGCATGCCAAATTTCAGTCCGATCCGTCCAGTGGTTTAGGCTGTGCGTTGATAAATCACTATGTCGTTTTAGATTGTCGTTTTATATGACGGCAATTTGGAGCGCTTTTTTATTTGTTGTCAACGCAATTATTATTTGTTGTCATCGTCTTATTTTCTGAGTTTTGTGTTTACGTATAGCCTCTTGTGCATAACTGTAATTGTGTCCAGGTGGTGCTTCGCTGGTGGACCCCCCGGGGGGCCGAGGGCGGCGCGGGCAGCTGCAGCGGGCCGCTGTGGCGCGTGACGCCCGCCGACGTGGCGTCGCGGCCGTCCGCCTGCCTGGTCAACTTCCTGCTCAACGGCCGCTCCGTCACGCTCGAGGTGCCCAGGTGGGTTTGGGCTCCGCTGGACCTCCCGGGAGGTCGAGGGGGGTGCGGGTAGCTACAGTGGGCCACTATGGCGCGCTTGAGGTGCCCAGGTGGGTCCTTAGGGCTCCGCTGGACCCCCCGGGGGGCTGTGTGTGGCGAGGGTAGCTACAGTGGGCCACTATGGCGCGCTTGAGGTGCTCAGGTGGGTCCCTAGGGTGCCGCTGGACCCCCCGGGGGGCCGAGGGTGGCGAGGGTAGCTACAGTTGGTCGCTATGTCGCGCTTGAGGTGCCCAGGTGGGTCCTTAGGGCTCCGCTGGACCCCCCGGGGGGCCGAGGGCGGCGCGGGCAGCTACAGTGGCCCGTTATGGCGCGTTTGAGGTGCCCAAGTGGGTCCTTAGCCCTTAGGGCTCCGCTGGACCCCCCGGGGGCAAGGGGGACGCGGGTAGCTAGAGTGAGCCGCTATGGCGCGCTTGAGGTGCCCAAGTAGGTCCGTAGGGCTCCGCTGGACCTCCCGGGGGGCCGAGGGTGGCGTGTGTAGCTACAGTGGGCCACTATGGCGCGCTTGAGGTGCCCAGGTGGGTCCTTAGGGCTCCGCTGGACCCCGCGGGGGGCCGAGGGCGGTGCGGGCAGCTAGAGTGAGCCGCTATGGCGTGTTTGAGGTGCCTAAGTGGGTCCTTAGTCCTTAGGGCTCCGCTGGACACCCCGGGGGGGCCGAGGGCGGCGCGGGCAGCTGCAGCGGGCCGCTGTGGTGCGTGACGCCCGCCGACGTGGCGTCGCGGCCGTCCGCCTGCCTGGTCAACTTCCTGCTCAACGGCCGCTCCGTCACGCTCGAGGTGCCCAGGTGAGTGTAGGGCTCAGCTGGACCCCCCGGGGGGCCGAAGGCGGCGANAATTAGAATTAAAAAGAAAAAGTGTGCGATAGTTCGAATTTTATTTTATGTGTAGTGGACGCATAAAGTCCGAACTGTAGTTGTCACGTTGCATTGCTACGCGCCAAAGCAGATTTTCGTTGTGCTGAAAAAATTTAGTTTATCTTTTCATTAAATGATAGGTATAGGTGTACCAGAATCTCATGGCAAACAAAAATATTGGAAAAGTGTGTCTTTCATATGGCAAATGTCTATGGCTTTATTGTTACCTGTCAACGTAGATCAAGTGAACTGTCAGTCGCTGCAGAAATTTTGTAATCTCTTCATGCCTATTTGTTATTTTTGTGAAAAAGTCGAAAAAGCTCAAGCAAGTCATATTGTTTTCAATGTGTATTGTAAAATAAGTTATAATTCAAAGTCAATCTTTGATTTTAAAGCCCGTCGTTGAGTTGACAGTAAGTTGAAGTGAAATTGGATACATTTAGTTTATTACCTAACTGCGTCAGAAGGAGGGTTTTTTTTAATATTATTCTTATAATAGCTGCTTTATCGGGGGTTTCATGTGTACCTCACAAATTGGTGCAGAGGAATGGTGAAAATGTTATGACCATGTAAATAAAATTGAAAAAGATTTCATCAAGTTCGTTCGTTCGTTCGTTCGTTTCAGCCGAAAGACGTCCACTGCTGGACAAAGGCCTCCCCAAGGATTTCCACAAAGACCGGTCCTGCGCCGCTTGCATCCAGGTACTTCCCGCGACCTTCACCAGATCGTCGGTCCACCTAGTGGGAGGCCTGCCCACGCTACGTCTTCCAGCTCGTGGTCGCCACTCAAGAACTTTCCTGCCCCAGCGGCCGTCAGCTCTTCGAGCTATGTGCCCCGCCCACTGCCACTTGATTTTAGCGATTCTGTGGGCTATGTCAGTCACTCTGGTTCTCCTACGGATCTCCTCATTTCTGGCAACTGCAGCGGGCCGCTATGGCGCGCTCGAGGTGCCCAGGTGGGTCCTTAGGGTGCCGCTGGACCCCCCGAGGGGCCGAGGGCGGCGAGGGTAGCTACAGTTGGTCGCTACGTCGCGCTTGAGGTGCCCAGGTGGGTCCTTAGGGCTCCGCTGGACCCCCCGGGGGGCCGAGGGCGGCGCGAGTTAGAGTGAGCTGCTATGGCGCGTTTGAGGTGCCCAAGTGGGTCCTTAGTCCTTAGGGCTCCGCTGGACTCCCGGGGAGCCGAGGAGGACGCGGGCAACTAGAGTGAGCCGCTATGGCGCGTTTGAGGTGCCCATGTGGGTCCGTAGGGCTCCGCTGGACCCCCCGGGGGGTGGCGAGGGTGGCGTAAGCTACAGTGGGCCGCTATGGCGCGCTTGAGGTGCCCAGGTGGGTCCTTAGGGCTCTGCTGGACCCCCCGGGAGCCGAGAGGGGCGCGGACAGCTGCAGCGAGCCACTAAAAGGAAATTGCTGCATTGCATTTACGAATGACCTTCTGCTTTTGACCTGTAAGTGGCAAGGACCCAGGAGTACCTATACAACGTGTCCCAAAATTCAAGGATAAGCCGACGCCGCAGGATGGACATAGTCTTGACTACTTTAGGAAAAATGAGGAAAAAAATCTATCTCAATTATTTTTTAACTTACACAATAAATTATGAAATTCGACGAAAATTGACACCCCTTATGATATTTTACATTACCACGACCGCAATTTTTCAAATATTCCTGTTTTTCTGTTTATATCGGCAACTTAAGTAGTGCTGCTGTTCACCCCAACTCTTAAAACCCCCAGAATCCTTGCAGTTTTTACACAAAAGTTAATCAAAATATGTTATTTCCTTAAAGTTTTGAACGATTTTTACTTTCACTCCACTTTGACTCATCGTCTTGTAAAAAAAAAAGTATGAACACTACTGCGGCAAGTTTTTTTATAAAGCGCAACTATCTAAGATTCCGAAATGGTATAATACTCTAAGAAAGAAACCTAGTCGCAAAAAAGATATACGTACCATTTTTACAAGCACTTCGCTTGTTAGTTAGTATGGAATAAATCTTGCAACTGAATTTAAAACCTGGGGTGGACAGCAACACTACTTAAGTTGCCGATATAAACAAAAAACCAGGAATATTTGTAAAATGATGGTCGTGGTAATGTAAAATATCATAAGGGGTGTGAATTTACGAAGAATTTCGTAATTTATTACGTAACTTAAAAAATAATTGAGTTAGTTTTTTTTTTTATTTTTCCTATAGTAATCATGACTATGTCCATCCTGCGGCGCCGGCTTATCCTTGAATTTTGGGACACGTTGTATATCTTTCATGTTTAACTTTACCTGTGGTATTTACGGTTCTCTGCTGTGATGTCAGGCTAAAAATGGGCTAATTACTTAAGCTGTATAATTTATCGTTCTCTGCTTTGATATTAAGTTGGTAATACTTATCCTTAAACTGTCCACGATTGCATCACAATTAATTGAATCCTTCCGTCCTTAACATAAGGCTGTCTTTACCTCATTCCAGTCGCAAAGGCGGGGGCAGGTCAGCGTCCCACGTGTTGGCAGCGCAGGGCGGCGAGCTGTGGATCGGCGCGCTGGGCGGCCGCACGACCTACGACGACCCGCCCGCCCTGTCCGAAGGCGCGGGCGGGAGGGTCACCGACTACAGGTAGATAATAGGGATGTTATGGATATGTAGGAGAGCCGGCTGATAAGTCCGCGGCCTAAGGTACTTAATGAAATAAAATAAATGGTTTCTATTTTTTATTTTGTAATATAATCTCCCTGAAAAGAAATACATTTCTTAAATCTCGCATACAAAGCCTTTTACCCACCCAAAATTTTTTTTTTTCAAAATGACGACCAACCGCAGCTTTAATTTCGTCGTCATCTGCATATCTCCGGCCCCGTGAGTCCTTTTTCAAATCGAAAAACAGGAAAATATCGCTAGGTAATAGGTCTTGGCTATATGGAGGGTGGTCAATCTCTGAGAACCCGGTGTCTTTCAGGGCTTGGCCTCGCAACACGTGCGGCGTGAACGGGCGCGTTGTCTTGCGGAAAGAGCAATCCGCGTGTCAGTTTTCCACGTCATTTCTGTACAATAGCCTCGCAAACATAAAGAAATATTCTTCAGCTATCTGCCACGATTTAATTCTTTGGTCAGCCGGAACGATTTTTTCGACTTTTGAACGTTTCTTTCACTCAATATCGTGACAGGGCGGGGGTCGTTTTCACAGGTCTCTCGTCCGTGTTGAAATAGTCGGGCCCATTTTTTAACCATGGTATATGAAGGTCCACAATCCTGAAGAACCAATGACATCTTTTCAAAAATGTCTTTCGTTCTATTTTCCTTCTTTACGAGGAATTATGTCCGCGGCGCGCGGTGTCGAAATTCCGCAAATCTCCAGATTCGGCGGACATGGTGATGTCATTTGTTCGATAGAAATTGAACTATCAGTGCAAACTTAATTAGTGATTGCTTTTTATAATACTACTGAGTGTCGCAACTAGTGACATGAGTAACAAGCTAATTACTCATCGCTAAGTACCTTAGGCCGCGAAATTTTCAGCCGCCCTTCGTAGTTACGGTTACGGATATCTGTGCTTTAGAATGCAATTTGCAATAGTTGTCCCCAGGGTTCGAGGATATATATCAAGGGATATATATCAAGATATATATCGGATATATATCCGATATATATCAAGCCGGTTTTAATGATATATATCAACTTTTAAAATTTGTTACTGTTTTTGCACTTTTTGACATAAGATTTTTATTTTTTTTGTAAATTTTGCCGGATTTAAAAGAAATTTTATGTTTTTGCTTTATTTGTCTGATTTTAAGTTTTAAAAACATTAAAAACATGTTAATGCAACACTTATGCAATAGTATTCATGAATAATACAATAAATTAATAGTATGGCTTTCATACAAAATTGATATATATCAAAGTTGATATATATCTGATATATATCATAAATATCCGATATTTTGATATCTATATATATAAAAGAAAGTCGTGTTAGTTACTTCGCTTATAACTCAAGAACGGCTGAACCGATTTAGCTGAAAATTGTCAGGGAGGTAGTTTAGAGCCAGGAGAAGGACATAGGATACTTTTTATCCCGTTCGAAATGAAAAAAAAAAGTCTGCTTATTTATTGCCATTAAGGCGGAACAAAGTTCGCCGGGTCAGCTAGTTTATAATAAATATCGGATATTTTCGAACCCTGGTTGTCCCACACTGTTCATTCATGGCCGCACACTTTACATCGAATAAAGTAATAAAAGAAATGATACTAGATGGCATTATAAAGGTAAATCAGGCTGTTATGCCTTTATGTATAATGCTATACTAAAAACAATTATAACTCTGGCTACATCCGAAACTTTTGAATCGGTTACGGTTACGGATATCCATAACATCCCTGGTAGATAGTATTTTGAATCGGATACTGCATGCATAGTGTGGACAGGCCGTGATAATGAGAGTTTTCGCGTGTGAAAGATCCGCTAGATGGCAGGACGTGGATGTGGGGTCTGATTGCTGCGTGATTGGTGGATTTTGACATATCTGTCAATGTCATGACAAAAATAACGAATCATGCAGCATTTGGACCTCGCGTCTACGTATTGCCATCTGGCGGATTTTTTATACGCGAAAACCCTCATTGGCCCGACGATCTGGTGAAGGTCGCGGGAAGTAACTGAATCCGGGCAGTCCACAACCGGTCGTTATGGAAATCTGAAATCTGCATGCATTCAGTTTTGCATTAGTTGCGGTCGCATACAAGTGTCAGACCCTGGCCCAACGTCAGCATCAAGCTAGCGATAGGACTGCCTAAATTTGGCCTTTTCTATTTTATATTTCTTTCAAGTGATACCGTGATAATATAAAATACTAGCGGCCGCCCGCGACTTCGTACTCGTGGATCCCGTTTTATCCCCTTTTTTTCTGAATTTTCTTTGCTATAAACCTCACGGAGCCCGAGACCTTTCCAACGAATGCAAAACCGTGGAAATCGGTTCATGCGTTCTGGAGTTTAGCGTCAGGAAGGAAAACCCGACTTATTTTTATATAGTAGATATCTATGAAAATGGGAAGTGATGCTGACCCCGCAGTGTCTCTGTTCAACTTGTTCCAAAAAAATGCTCATGACTAACTAAACAAGTGTTAATAATTCATACCAATTTCACTACGACAGTACTTATTATTATTCTGTGCTACGACAAAGACCACTAAATGGATCATGTCAAATCATGCTTGCGTATTATCTTGTAACTGGGTAGAACTTTTCGGAGTCGAAGTAGGTATATGACTGACTCAGATATTAGAGATTTATCTCAGATTAGCTTTGTTTTTATGTAGGCAGGTATTTGACCGCAATCGCAACTGGTGTTAATTAAGGGAAATTAGAAACTCAAAATTAAGGTACACATGGTAGCAATCCTGTCAGTAATAATAATTATGGTATTAAGGGAGATGCAGTATAGGATGGTACATATTTTATGTGCGTTATAAGTGCCTATTCAATTCACTCTTGCCTTGAAGAGGCCCGGCACATCAACACAGCTGTTACCATCACCATCTTGCTTTTTAAGGTCAATAAGGTTTATTTTACTATGTATCTCCCGCAGAATAAAAGAATTCGGCGCACTAATGCAACAGAACCGTCTCGCTCCGTTGCGCGGCGCGGGCGCCAACGGGCGGTCGCGTGCGCGTCTTCAAAGGCACACTACGTACTGGCCTCTTACTATATCCTCCACGCTCATATTCAACCTGGGATCGGTGAGTGATGTACCGTGAACCATTATTATTATTGTTGAAAATAGCACATATCCCGACTAAATAAAGTGTTTACTTTGATAATAATTATGTCATCATCTGTACAGTAATTAGCACTCCAGAAACTTCTTCCAGATTATTGTTGCAAATTAGAGTTTGGACATTTAATGCACCAGCCTTTGGCGGTTGTGCAGTAGGAGTGCAAATGTGCGATTGTGTGTGACTTTTAGCTACTATACTCTTTACTCTTCACACTAATCTTTTAACCTGGAATCATTTTGTTGACTAACTTATATTGTGTAATGTGTTTTTTTAAACAAAATATGACAACTTTATGAAAATAGATTGACAATAACGATCTGTGTTTCTCTCAACCGAAAGACTGCTGGGCATACCTTATTCCACAACTACCAGTCCCGTTCACTTAGGCTCCTTATGCCTGTTTTTACCATCAATCCCTAATTTAGAAGTAACCCATATGTAAACAAAATTCCTGTTATTTGTTACCATAGGGGTCACTTAAAAATTAGGGATTGATGGTGATAACGGGCATTAGTCTCCATTGTTGTATACTCAATTCACACGTTCACAAACATTTCAGACCATGGAGCCGTTAACAAGGCTGGTGGTTCAAGAGTCCCTGACTGACGACGAGGTGGACACGTGTCGAGGCGTGCTGGTCAATCTATTGGGCATGGAGTCAAGGCATGAGTTCCCTTCTGCACAGCTGCCTTCCAATATGAGGTAATTAAACGTCCTTTATAAACTTTCGTTTATCGCTGGTGGTGCATGTCTCTGATGATAAGGTGGGCACGTGTGGAAGCGCGGTCAACCTTCTAGGTATGGAGTTGCGGCATGAGTTCCCGTCTGCACAGCTGCCTTCCAATATGAGGTAATTAACCTTCCTTCCTACCTTTGGCCTGATCATCACTTTCCATCAAGACACGAGCATCCCCGTTCTGGGTACAAAAAATCTTTTTGTTGCTCTATCGTGAGTCGTTTTATTAAACCAATTGATGCGACATTTGATCTCCCTGCAAATAGCAATATCGCAAAATCGCCCAAAAATTACTTGTCTTGCTCGTCATTTTGGTCTTCGTTTTGTATTTTGTTCGGATCTTAACGAAACCCCAAGCATCGACATTTCTATGGTTAGTCTAATGTTATCGCTTAAATTTTGTAAGTTTTTTGTTCTAAAATAGTACTTATTTCAATCACATAACATGCCCTAGTCTTTAACATTAAATGATATTTTTTGTACATGTAAATAAAATATTCCAGGGGCAAATCCAGCGGGCGCCGCGAGGAGCAATGGCGGCAAGTATGGAGCGAGTTGGAAGCGCTATTGCGCGCGCATTCCGCGTCGTCCGCGCATCGCGCGTTGCTACGAGTGCTGTTAGAATGCCGCGCCCACAACAACCACGCGTCCGACAGTGAGTGCGAATTTGTATTTTATATGGATGGGGGAAGGCTGATTTTTGGAGGCACGATTATGTTGCAGAATTGCAAAATCAGAATTTCCAGGGGTGGCAAAATGTTGAAGTTGCGTATGATTCAATGTCCCATCAAATCGAAATGATGGCCAATTTTCAACGTCTCTTACAGAAAACTTGATACTATTAATTCCACTTTTATGACTTTGTAAGACATTTAACCGACTTGCGGCGATTTGTCGTTCTATCCGATTACAATGTAGATTCAAGTCTACTCATTTTACGGAATTACGATGACCATAATGAACTAAATTCGGACTTTATATTTGTAAGAAAGTGTTCATGGCATTATACTACTACTTTTGATGTGTTATTATGAAATCAGTCTTTCCCCTAATGTGTGTTTTTGGGGCACGTTTGTTTGTTTTACTAACACTTTTAAAACTAATTTTTGATCTTAAAACTAAACATGCAAAATTAAAACTATAATTGAGTACAATCAACTAATTTTGATGTACTTTTTTCATCAAATATAATAAGTTCAGTTCTTTAAAAACACATTTGAAACGTAACAAATGAGTAAAATACTTATATGTTTTATGAGTTTACTAACAAATTGTATAGATATTTTTTTCTATGAAAACATTTATTCAAATAACAAATTTTAATCCAATATTATAATCTGATATCTAACTTTTAAGTATCTAACATTAGCACCGGCAATCGACACCTTGCTAACTTTTTGTTGGTGAGTTAAAAAATATAATCCTACTGGTAATACATAGAATGGAACGGTCTGTGCTATTGTTTTGAACATACTACATAATTTTGTTTATACATCATGATCTTCCAGCTCCATTTCAAAAATCCATTCACAATTTCTTTCATCATGGTTTATTTTTCACCTTTATCTCAGAATTCACAATTTAAAAAACAAATTCAAAAGAATAGTACTTACCGGTTCCTTTCTTCTAAACTTGCATGTTTTTGACAATGCAGAGATTGATGCATGTTAACAATGTATGGTGTGAAAAATTAGGATTTGTCTTGATGTGTAATTCCCTACTTTTAACTCAGTTACCTATCTTTGCACGGTACACTAATAAAGGCTTTCGTATACCCTCTGATTTATTTCCCCTTGGAATGCCGTATCTTGATTACCCCTAGTATTAAAATCTCATGTTACTTTTTAATTTGTTCGTGATTATGTGAATTGACTAACAACTCAGGCTAGTATGTTTTTATTTATTTATTTAGACTAATGATGATGATGTCACAAGCTTCTAATTAAGCACACTGATTGATAGCTAGTCAAAGTATCAAGTAACCTCGTAGGTAGGTGTCATGTGAATGTGTAGGTAGTTGTGGTATATAATTTGCATGTAACTTTCACGTGTACCCGCTATGTATTGCAGGCGAGTCTCGGGCGACTGTCATTCGTGCGACAACAGATTCTCCTCTGTCGCCAGTGGGTGCGGGCAACGGGTCCAATGCGGGTGACGTTTGGGCCCCCCGGAATGTTCTCGACGCGCTACTGGGCGGGCCGAGGCCCTCCCGTCGGCCTGACTTCGCGGGTAGAATGGCGGCCGGCAACAGAATTGCGACTCTCTACCCTCAGTTGCAGCAAGACGTCGAGGCCCAACATTAGACTACCTTCCGAAGAAGACTTCTTCGTATATACATAGATCGTGCTATCCACAAAGACATGCCCCACCAATTTTTGGCCGAGGGAAGCGCGGGGTGCGGGGAATATGATCCGAGCAATCCGAGCGTCATTATTGTAGTGTGCGTGTGCACTCATGGATAATTTAGCGTGTACGTGTACCGATAACACTCCAACATTAGCTGAAGAATGGTGGGGCGCGTTTTGGTGGATGGCACGATCTGTACTTTACTCCAGAAATGCAAAGAGTTCTAAGTATACTACTACAGCTTAGGTTGTGAGAATTGTAAGATTTATTGGTCAAAGAACTACGGTCAAATCTACAAGTCAATAGTCGATTGTGAGCGAGTGACAACAGAAACAGATATTGTTTTTATGTGACCGTTAAAGTTCTAAGTGCGTACTTTGTTCTGAATGGTTTGTTAATTTCATTCTAAGTTGTCATGCCTGTTTAATAGTATACGTAGAATTTTCCGCGAGTGCAAAAAATACTGCAGTTCAATGACCTCCTTCAATGCGAAACACATGACACTTGACGTACTTTTGTAAACCGTTGCTCGAGTAAATTGTATGGAAATATTGTATAGAGCCTTGACGTCACACGTCAGTACTTTTTCGAGGGACAATTTGTTGAGTTCAAATGCTTGCGTAGTCACGTAGAACTAAAAAATATATTACATGTATAAATTTTCTTATAATCAAATGAGATAGTGATCAGTTTTAGTTTTTTTTTAATTTAAGTAAATCTTTTTAATTTATGTTCAAATGTTTAAAAAATAGTGCCAAGAGTTTAATATTGTGAAGAAAGAAATAAAAATGGTTTACATTTATGAAGTTTGTGCATGTATAAATAATTGACAAATGGAAAAATGAGCTCTGAAAAATGTATTAACAGATCTTTAAAACTGTCTGAGTATGATTTTAATAAATAATTTTTAAGACTATTATTGTGTTTCATTTTCATTCATTGTATTGTGTAATAATTCTAAACGTGAGATAGTCAATTTCGTTTGAAGACCTAAGCCTAACGTTTCTCGTAGAGGTGCTAAATAAAAATGCAACATTATAAAATTAATATTTTATATTTGTTCAATAAAAACTACATTGTGGGCCGGTATCCCGGCGCCCGGGTAACACGACCTTTGTATTATCTTGTTGAATATAAACTCTGCGGGCAGACTGTGTCATAAGGCAATGGTGTGAGTGTGACGGCCGCGGGCTCGTCAAGGCATCTGGTCCGGCGCGGCGATCCGGCTCCCTCGCCGCCGTTCGTACGTACAAATTATTGGAATGTCACGCGGGATGCGAACGTTCAAACATCAAATCATTACAAACAAAACCTAACGCTAGGCCCAACGGGCCACTCCGAAAATACACTCACATTGAAATATTGTACAATCTCATACTCTCGCGGAGCGCCCGGTAAGTCCGTCGAAACGCATCCGAAATTATCATTTAATCAATTAATTAATACCCTATAAAACTTACAAAACCGGTACTCTTAAAACTTAAGGCTAAGTTAAAATTAAACGGAATTGAAAATAAATTACCTAGGTACAATATTTTATTCTAGAAAGCTATTTATAGGCGCACGAGGGATGTTCGGAGACGCGCGGGTCAGTGCGTGGCTTCCCGCAGCTTCTTGGCTACCGGCGGCGCTTGCGCATCCATCGAGTCGCCCAATGAGTTTTCTTCCGCTGAACTCGCCTCTTCTATTGGTCTGTTGGGACAAAATAGAGTATGTCAGTCAATTGTTTAGTACATCATTAGAGTGCGTGGCAAGTAGAAAATAACATTACTAAAACTGGGACCTGTATTTTACGGACTTAGAACCGTTGTCAGATTGGGTCATTAATCTACCCACGTCACTTCGCTGTTGTGACTTCTTTCTCCCAATACGCGTAACTACACAACATTTCTTTTCCATTGGCTGTATGGCTTTATTAATCTAAGGCTTTATTTTGATTTTGACAACCAGTTTGCCTCATGTTTGGATGGCAATCATATACGAAGTACATAATTCTCTTGTTTCACCATGTTAAAACCAATTCAAGCACATGACGGGTTAATGTATTTTCGCATAGCTATGTGAAGTGCTTTTGTCTCTGTCAGAGTTTCATGCAAATGCCATGAAGTCATTTTCATACATACTATACCGTTACTAATGGGCTAAGTTGTACGCAGGGGCGTAGCTACTAAGGGGCTAGGTGGGGCAGTGCCCCGGGGCTCCCAAGCTTAGGGGGCCCCCGAATCCTTGCCAGAAAATCTCAATTGAACTGAACTTTAAAAATTTCTCCCATTTTCAAAATAAATAGAGAAATTCGAAAGTTATAACTAGGGTGGAATACCCTAGTTATAACTTTCGAATTTCTCTTCTAAATTCTTTCTGTGGGTTGTAGCAGTGGGGCCCATTTTTTTATTTGCCCCAGGGCCCTTGGTTACCTAGCTACGCCACTGGTCCCAGCTTTGATATTGTCAGGATAAGGAGGGCCCTACTACCAATGCTGGGTTATTTCGATTTTGGTCACATAACGTTACAGAATCGTTCGATTAGATGAGTATTATTAGAAAATCAGATTTTAAGGTATAACGTAGAATTACAGTCTATTGAATATACAGAAAAAGCCACCGTAAAAGTTAGGCTTACGTTATACCATAAAAGCTGATTTTTATATACAATATTAGGGCAATAATTAGAAGTAGTTTCCTCATCAGCCAGACAGTTTAGACAGTTACATACAACTCCTTGTCATACAGTTTTTTTAGAATAGCTGCCAAAGCCACGATGACCCAAACTTCATGATTCACCAACATTATATCCTATATACTATATACAGGGTGTTAGGTAAATGGGTATATGAGCCGACACTAGCCCATGTTAACATGGTCTTATAAATGGTATGGTGAAGTCAGAAATTTGATATCATCATTTTAATTTTTTAAATTTTCATACAAAATTAATTTTATAAAATCCGATTTGTATGAAAAATAAAACAATTAAAATGAAGATATCAATTTTCTGACTACACCATACCATTTATATGACCATGTTAACATGGGCTAGTGTCGGCTCATATACCCATTTACCTAACACCCTGTATACACTGACAAACTTTCAGCTTTTATAAAATGACGTAGGTCTGGCGTTCACTAGCTCTTAGTCTATATTATTTTGTATTTTTTTTAATCCTTACCGTTTCGCGCGCGGCGTGCTCAACGCTGAGTCTGAGTTGTCGGAGGGGGAGGCCGGCGTGGCGGGGGTGGGGGGCGACGCGGCTTTCGCGTCCATTGAGTCTTCTGTGCACGACGTCGTTGTGTCTTCGTTTACTGAGTCTGCTGCTAATTTGCCTGGAACAAGCGAACATTTTGGTTTAAATTACTGTAACGTTCTCTAGTAGTCGTTGGGTTGTTTGGAAGTGATGGCTTTTTAGCGATAAAAACGCCTAAGGCAGTGGTTCCCAAAGTCTGGCCTACGACTCATCTAATACTAGTTCCCAAACTCGGGACTCACCTATAGGAAATTTCGCCCTCTGCCCAGCGGTTGGATCGTAGGGTGGTACGGCGTTCTACAGGCAGGGCCCACTCAATGTTCGCTCGCGACCCATAGTTTACGGGACTATTCTCCCCTCTCGTTCCCACCACTGCAACTCCTGTGTAGCCAGGATCTACAGCTTGACCGCCACAAAAACCCAACCATCCATAGTTTGGGAAACCTTGAACTGAGGTATTGTGGACTTGCATTTCTTTTGTCAGTTTTGTTTGATATGCATTGTCCCTTTGCGTGCGACACCTCGGCATGATACCGACTGGATGCCGTTTCAGTGTCGGGCTCGTTAATTTATTTATTTAGTTTTAGTTTAACGTAAAATCTTTATCCCTATAATGCAAAAAAGTTAAACCCGGGACGAACACTGTTTTTAAATAACATTTCCAGACCAGAGTCTAACTTTTTGTAATAAGGGAGTTATAGTATAAAAAAATATAACTGATTAATGATTTATATTATACCTATTTTAGAGCTAAATTAAACTCTATGACAACAGTCGAATAAATAAATCATAAATTATAACCGCAATTAAGTATTAGATTTATTTCCTTAAAATTTGTGTTTGGAACACCTGTGTGTATGTGTTTTAAAATATTTACGCATCTTTTATTAAATTCCTTTCTTTGTACACAAAGATCTGTAGTTTCATTTGTACTTACTTACACAAAGTCCGAAAAAAAAATCTTAACATCAAGCTACTAAAATTATTTCAATATTTTAGTCTTCGCCTTTGTTTTATTGTGATTTTAATTTAAGATTAATTAATCATCTTTTGGATTCAACAAAAACATCTCAGTCCCCAGACCACTGAGTTTCGCGATGGAATCGCAGTCCAATTTCACAGTTATCTGATTGAAGTGCTCAATTGACGAAACGCTCGAGATAGCGTTTGCTTTCTACTTCTTTGTCGCATATTTTCGAAAAAAATATTTATGTAAGTACCTACTGTTTTATCATTTATTTATTTGACATTTACGACTTAAGTAATCGATCACCAATTGCAATTAAAATAGCAATTTAACATTTAATGAATCCTTGGCCGAGTCGCATTCTGAACTTTGACTTTAAAAGTTTGTCCAGCTGACTGCAAAGGTGGTTTAAACTGCATAAATAGGTAACCGGCTATGATAACAAGCGTTATCCGCGATGTCTTTCGTAGAATTGAGAATGTAAACACCCTAAATGGGGCGGGGAGGCGCTCCCCCCTCCCGGCCACGTGGTTGCCCGCACACGTGGTTTTGTTTTCTCTGGACTGCCGTGTGAGGCATCATGATGTAAATAAATAATGACCGTTGCCTTGACAACGGCGTCGCGTGATTTGACGTAGGTGCAGTCAGTAGCGCCTGCACTTGATTAACTTTGGCTGTTAACTATTTTACTATCGCAATTAGACAGTCATCTGTTTTACTGATAGTACGAGTAGAAGCTACGAGTATGTTTTTCTCGCTTTTTGCGAAATCTATAAATCGCTATCTACAGAGATTTAAAAGCAAAATCAATCTAAAAAGAAACATTAATGGATGTCTTTTGTATGACACATTATGTATTTCTTTTTAAACGTGGCACTGTCAAGTCACGTCTGAATCAAGATTGAAGGGTAACAGTGGCAGGCAATGAAATTTGAAACAATAATCATGAGTTGGCCGCCGTCCCATCCAGGGCAGAGATATTCTGAACGCGATAAAGATGGTCGCAACCTACAAAGCAATGTAGGCTGAGTTTCAAACTGTTGTTTTGTGCCTGTCATCAAGCCGCTACTCGGTACTAAAGGACATTGATTTTAGCTGTCACGGAGCTCACACTCATTTACAAATGGCAGTTTTAATGAGGACGCCAGAACTTTTTTTACTCCTGCGAATCACAATCTGGCCAAGCCAAATTACCAATAAACATTCAACAACTAAAATGGTCCTAACTGCCTTAAATTTTAATAACATGTATTTGATACCATTACTTTATGTGCCGCAATCTAGGACTATGTCCTACTCACGCCGTACGACCCATTAGTTTATTCAGATAATGCGAGAAACTGGGCGAACTCTATGGCCGAAGAGGCACCTGAAAATACTTTATCACCAACATGCTAACGCAATAGCTTTTCGTCAAAAAAATGGTTATGCTTACCGTTTCCATTTGTGGACGGTGGCTCAAGATTGCTTTCATCGCTCGGCAGGGGCGAACCACCGTTCGTAGGCGCGCTTGTGTTGGGCTCTTTTCCGAGCAGTTCGGGCTGCAGATCAGATACTATGTTGTGTGTCCATAACGCCAACTCGACCATATGTGGGGACCATTTCTTGCCACAGCCGTTTTGTTCCTAGAAAAGAACATATCGTCACCGTCGTGGCAGAATTAAATAACTGACACTTTTGGCAAAAATCACTTTTTCCACTTTTTGTATAGTAGAAAGTGTTACCTATATTTTGGTCTTACTCTCGTGGCAATATCTATGATATTTCCAAAGATATCTTCAGTTTAGTGAAACTATTGACCATAAATTACAACTCTGTTTGTTGTAAAATTTACCTGGCAAAACTGAATAAGTGACTTTATTTAATTCTGCCACAACTCACTGCAAAACATTGCTTCAAAATACTTGTACTAAGAAAGTCAATAAGTGACTTTATTTAATTCTGCCACAACTCAATCCGAAACATTTGCTTCAAAATACTCGTATAATTGTGTTTGAAATTAAAAGTAACATTTAAAGTAATTTTACAAAAATGAAATAAATCAAAATGTTCATTACTCAGATGTTAAACCTTCATCATCATCGTCATTTCAGCCATATAGGACGTCCACTGCCGAATATAGGCCTCCCCCAATGATTTCCAATATGACCGGCTGGTAGCGGTCTGAATCCAGTGCTTTCCTGCTACCTTTATGAAGTCCACGTTGTGCTTTTCGGTATGTGCCCTCCACTCCAGAACCTTGCTGCCCCATCGTCTGTCAGTTCTGTGTACTATGTGCCCTGTCTCTTGTACAGAAAAACTGAGCATAGCCCTCTTCAAAGCACGCTGTGCAACTTGAGTAAGAGGCCGCGTTCCCGAGCCGTCATCAATGGTAACACATACAGATTGTAGATTTTTTCCTTTAGGCACTGAGATATTTTGGACGAAAGGATGTTGTGTAGTTTCCCGAATGCTTCCCAGCCGAGTTGGATTTGACCTCTTTCTCTACCTAGCTGAAACGTTTGTCCGAGGTAGACATACTTGTCAACAATCTCAAGATTCGAGCTCCTAACCGAAACTGGGTAGGGTGCAACATAGACATTCGACAAAAGCTTCGTTTTTCCATGTTGTTCACCCGAAGGCCTACCTTTTGGGAGATTAAGGTCTTCGAGCATTGTGCCGAGGTCTTCCAGTGATTTTGCCATAACCACACAATATCGTCGGCAAACCGAAGCTGAATGATGTACTCGTCGTTGATGTTTGTGCCGAATCCTTTCTATTCAAGGAGTTTGAAAGCGTCATCCAATGCAGCGGTGAATAGTTTCGGAGATCCGGAGATATAACATCTCCCTCATGCCTCGCTGCAGAGGAATCGCCCTCGTACTCCACTCCTGTACTCGGACCAACATGGTGGCGTTTCTGTACAAGCACTTTAGCACCTCGATATGTACCGATACTTTTCAGAAACCGGCTTGTTCGGGAGGCTAGAAGTCATCGAACCTACGCGCGAGATCATTCGTGATAACTTTCGCAAACAGCTTGTAGACATGACTCAGAAGCGAGATGGGTCAGTAATTCTTCAGCAAGGTTTTATCCCCTTTCTTGAAGAAGAGTACCACCACGCTTCTGTTCCAAGCCTCTGGCGTTGTTCCCTGGAGTAAGACGAAGTTAAATAGTCTCTGAAGGACCTAGGTTATCCCGTCATGACCCGGTGCCTTGTTGTTCTTTAGGTGTTTGAGAGCCATCCTAATCTCGTATAGGCTGATAATGCTGATATCCACAATATCTTCGTCGAGGTATATAACTGTCCATAAAACTTTTCAATCTCACCCAGAACCTCGGCTTTTGTTGACGTTACACCACCTTCCGCAGTCTTCAGCTTCGTCAGCTAGCTTCGCCCAATAGATTTGTCTCTAGCGAACACTTTCGAGCATTGGTTCCGCTCTATCGCCTCTTTAATACTATTTGTATTAAAGTTGCGAACATTATGTCGCAAGGACTTCCATGTCTTGTCTATTGAGCTGCCGATGTGCCTTAGCGTCAACGGAGATCTGCAGTGACATTGAACGTCGTTCTGCCATGACGTTGAGGGTAAAGCATCCCTATGGATCCCTAAGGAGATATCCCTATTACAGTTTTATTGTTTTTGGATTATTTTAATTTTGATATTCATTTTGATGTTGGTTCTTTCAACTTAATTTCAATGTTATAGGAATCTGATGTTGATGGTTACCATAACAATTTGTTAAACATTTATAAGTATTTAATAAGTAAGTATATTCTAGTATTATTTAACAATTTTACAGATTTTGACTAAAATCGCATTAACAAAACAAATAAAATAAAATGAATAAATCAACATTTAGGTAAATAAAAGTGTGGCAAAATTAAACAAGTGTACTTATTCAATGGAAATATTCGTTTTTGTAATACCTTGGTTGTGGTAAAACTAAATAAGTGACATGCAAAAAGTAAATAACTGCAACTTAGTTGTAAAATACGGTTGTGGCAAAACTAAATAATTACATTTTTATTTTTTTATTTAAAATAATACAAAATAACATCATCGAAGAATATTGAATTAATAAAGGTAAATTTGCTGTATAAAATATCAAAAGACCGACGGTAAAATATTTTTACCCTTAAAAGTTATCGCCATTTTTAACGAAAAAAATCACAAAAACGTGAATATCTCGCAACTTTGGTTTTGTCAGTTATTTAATTCTGCCACGACGGTGACGATATTAGTTGTCTCATACCGTTGTAAAAAGGACGCAATTCATTTGTTCGTGATTGACAGACTTGTTTATTATCGTGCTGTCATGAACTACGAAGCCAGCCAAGTTGAACAAAAAATTAAAGTAGCTATGAGTGCTCATGTAGGAAAGAATATTCTCATGACAAGTTCATTGTATTTTTAATACCTTTGCTGGTTCGTCGTGGTAAAGCGACGTTCAATCATACGAATATTTTTGTATGCATTAGGCAATTGCAGTCTTTGTTAGCGTGACAGAAAGAACAAAACACCATTGTATGTAGATATTCAACGGTCAACTTGCGGCTTTGATGTATGGCTGTTATTTTGCTAAGTTACGATCGATTGGCGGTTTATCTTTATATCTATTGTTGTATACGTACCTTATTTAACCTATCACAGACGGTCTTTATATGTTTAACAAAATTGAGGTATTCCTTGGCAGTGTAGTCGCTACCTTCCATCTCTGGGATGGCTTGTAGGCACTCGTCGGCCATGAAGGGGGCGATTTCTGGGCTTGCTGCCGCGAGGAGGGCTGACGCTGTGGCCGTGCCCACTCCTTTGAGGTTGCTCAGCGCAGTCATAGCTGACTCTATATTCGGCAGTTTACGGAAGGCTTTCTTTGTTTCTTGCATTACGGCTCTAGGTGTGTTCACTTTTATAAGATACGATAGTTGCGGGTAAAACTTCCCTCTCTGCAATGAGACAATGTGTTGTTATTTGTTGCATAGATCATGTCGTGACTGCATCGTGTAGTGTGATGTCGTAAAGTTCTAACATTATTGTGGTGCTAAAGAACGTGTACGTGGAATACTAATGGCTTTAAAAATAATTACTTTGAGTTTTATTATTAGTGTGATCTTTTACACGAGTAACTAACTAACTAAGCCACGATAGCCGAACGGTAAAGTGGTCGGAATGGCCGCCTCGTGATCCGGGGAACACGGGTTCGGTCCCCGCTGCCGCTCGACTGTTGTGGTGAGCTCACTCTTGATACAAGCATATTTAACTTAAGATTAACTTAAGAGCAAAAAAACATGTGCTAAAGGATTAAGTTAACGAGCACTGTCTGCGACAGTGTCTCGATTTAAATCAACTGTTAGTATAAAGAGACTGGTTGTTATAACATCGGTTGGCGAGTTTACAAACTCACCGCTTGTTTCCATTTCATGAGCTGGACCAGCTCCTCGTGGATCATATGCGCATCTTTACCCCGGGCTTTGATCTTCTTTGGTAATTCATTCTGGTACCTGGAAACAACGAAACATATTGTTAAAAAGTGGAAGCAGCAAAAGACTAACTATTACAACGTAATAAAAAATCTCTTGGCTGGAACTTGGCTTGACACATGAATCAAAAAAAAAAACTTAGAAGATCAAGTGAGTTTTTTTTTTTCATTATTAGTTTAGGCATAGATAGACACCTTTTTGTGTTTGTCACTATGCTAAAACTTGCTGGATGTGAATCTAAGGCACTTCACTCTATAGGTGACAAAGTTTAATTAATGGTCTTTGTAATTAATAAAATATGTATTCTAATTGTTTGACTTACTAGTTATCAATATTAACTAAGCAGAACTAAAAAATATACAATAGTAAATCATAGAATTAATTAATAAAGAAACTTCCATGACTCCGGGAGAAGCACATTTCATTCGCTTCAAACCCTCAACTCGAATCCTCTATGTTAACCAACGATCCATGTGACAAACAAAATCCATAAATCATAATCATTCCGTTTATAACTTTCATAAAATGTTAATTAATAGTCATCACAAAATAATTGTTTCATTCATCGTATCACTGAATTCAGATATGACTCGGATGAACTAAACACATGTGTCTTACATCTGTTGAAGATATTAACTGAAAGAAGCTAATAAAAATTTACTAAACTAAATTAATCATGTCTGAACCAACTAAGTAGTTAGGTTGAGTAGGAATTATAAGTAAAAAGCTTAAAAAATTTGAAATTAAAGAATATTAAACAGTTTTTAACATTATGGTAATAAAAAACAATAAAAGAATGATTAAGTTCTAAAATTAAAATTGTAAAAAAAAATACTGAATTAACTTTAAAAATAGTTTTGTGCTAATTAGTAAAGTCTTGAGAAGTCATTAGAAAAATAAAAAAACATAATGTAACAAAAAAGGTAGACCTTACATTATAAATTAAAAGTAAAACAAAAAAGCATCAATCTCTTTCCTATTTCAAAATAATTCTCAAATAGAAACACACCTAGGGTAATGTAGGTACCTACAGTAAGTACAAATTAGTCACTTGATGATTTTAAAAATTACCATGAAATTTTGGTTTTACGCTAAAAATACCGTTTATTTATTAAAAATGTAAGAATGTGGATCCTTAGTACAATTTTTAAGTATAAAACTAAGTTTTTATTTAATGACTAGGCACTTAAGTAGGTCTACTTCATTTGATGACTCATAATGGAAAATTATAGAGTTTAAAATTACATTTTTTATTTATTTTACTACACTTTAGTCAATACTTTAATATAGCAGCAGAAACCAGTCATTAATTAAACAAAATTCATTGAATTAATACCAATGGTGAAGCTAAAAGGCAAGTCACCATTTTGAACGGATGTGAGTCGTACTCAACAAAGCATTGTATTAATAAGTGAAGTAAGCTAAAAATACAAAAACATGTCGAATTTATAATCAAGTATGTTATTTAGTTAATGAATCTACATCATTAACTCAGGAACATCGGGAAAATATGTACGTAAATGCTTTAAAACGAGTCATGATACGTAAAGGACAGCCACCATTTTATAACGCCTGAGCGCTGCGATATTTTCCCCCACACTGGCTTCAGGAAAAACGATCGTGTCAAATTGACATCGATCCCACGTGACGCAGTGATTTTAATGAGCACTCCGCGGACTAGAGATGCAGTCCGCGAGGGAGGTAGCTATCAAATCAGTTTGCACGGATACACACACAATACAAGTTCATTGACACGCCACGGCCGCATTTTCTCCTTTCAAAGACGTTCGTACTTACCAATTGTCCAATTTTATGAGTTCCTCTGGTTTCTTTGTTTTCTGTTCAGCTTTTAGTTTAATCGCCTGTGGATATAACTTCAATACACTGTCAAATTCTTTTGCATCTGCCTCCAGAAAGAAAGTAGACGTGTCTTTCGCGGTAGCCATTGTGAACGTTCTAAAATGTACAACACTGCGTATTTAGTTTAGCTATAGCGCCGAACTCGACGCGGCGGCAGCACCTGGCCAACTGGGCGCACTCTCCCCACTCGGCGCCATCTTGTTGACTGAACCTCGCAATGACGTTCGATATTATTATTCGAAATGTGTTATTTTCACCCGGATTTTACTTATTATTTCGATTTATTCCTTTATATTGTTCTATAGATTGACCCTACATGTAATTTTAGTTGGATTACTGCACGTTTAGAGCAAATTTTAGACAGGTTTTGAGACAAAAAATATACTTACTCGCTTGCACAAGGTTATATCGGTCGCACATTGAGTCGTGGCGTCGGACATTTGTCTGGCCTCCACCCACTGGGAATAACAGGATACAAAAAAATAAATCCATGTTATTCGGAATTCACTTCACCACACTAAGTTAATTGATGTTGAGATTGAAGTTTAGTTGTAAATGAGCACAAAAATCACTTTTATGTTAGTCACGTCGACCTCGGAGCATTATCAATTTCCTTAAACGTGACGCAACACACGACACCGTTCTACCGAAACGGCTTTGGTAAACACGCATATTTTCCGTTGCATTGCAGTACACACTGAGCTCGGAGTAGTCATGAAGTAGTAACTAGCGGTGTACATAAGGCATTTAGGTAGTAGGACGTACATATCACCGGGGTGGAACGTCACCAAACCAATCGGCTTTGTTGTTTTGATAGATCGCCATGTGCTCTACTCCCTCTAACAATTTAGGTGTTTTATCGGTCATTGAACAGTTCGCGCTAATTGTTTGCTGTTATTTATTTGAGTTCAAATTGCCGCCAAAACCCGCTATGAAATACCTACTACGGTATTACCTGAATTATGATTCCATCCTTATGGAACATACATTAGTAGGATATCTAATAGAAAAGAAATTACAAAAGGTAGAGTTCCTCCTATTGCAGTGCCTGTTATCTTATAAATAAATTAATTAATACATAAATAGCATTTAGGTCCTGTATTTTAATAAAATAGCGCTTCATAATAAATTTTAATCGGTTTTATTACGTAAAATGTGCACCTTCTCATTCATACACCTAGACGTAAGATAATTTTTGAAACACCTGGATGAGAATTCCTCTTCCCAGAATTCACGAATTTAAAAATTTCTGAACGACCTATAACTCTACAAGGGTTAACTGGTAGAAATCGCGGTCGGCTGACTTGTGAAATGTGTAAGCTAAGCTTCTTACTACAAAATAAACTTCATTTAGTGACATTTATTTTTGTAAGTTGTAATGAATCATAAAAGTTAGCTGAAGAATCTTCCTTTAGTTTAGATAGATTTTTTCTCTTAGGAATAGGATCAGTTCCTTCCTAGGTTTAATTAAATTGTCGTTGCGTCAGACGGTTAAATGAGGTTAATAAAAGACCGTTATTAATTATTCTTTTTTTAAATAATACTAAATACATATTTTTAAGTTAATTTGAGTTACACAAAATTACTAACACTCCCGTTAACCCCTTCGTGCTTAATAAACGCTTGTGTAACATGTCGGTTCACCACAATACTNAATCACCATTTTCGACTTAGCTCCCTTTTCACTGGGGGTACAGAATAGTACCTACAACGTCCACAGAAATACTTTATCTAGATAATTATATTATTTCTGGGTGTATTAATTACTAATTAACAATGAATAGTAAAAAGAGCATTTATTTATTTAATGTAATACTAATACTGTCGTTAATTAGGCAGTAAAATGACATTATTGTGAGATAGAAACTAGTCACTATGTAATTTCTATAAACGAAGTTAAAAAAAGACGAGAGATGAGCTTACTTAGCGATTTTCAGTAAATTCGGTCCAGTTTTTCACGCACTTGATGTGTCGTAGCGCGTTCGTAACATCGTAGTAGAATTTTCTACGATTAAAATAATTACCTACGAAACAAACGTGCGTTCGTAGCGTTAGTTTTCAATTGTTTTCGCATTTTAAACATTTATTCGTTTCGTTTATTTCGTTACTTTTAAAATAAGGAAAATCCACTCTAAATGGTTTGAAGCAAACAATAATATTATCGCTCTTTAAACACGAAAAATAGCAAAATACCACGCAACATTCGTTGATAACAAAGCGAAGCGAGGCGAGCGCGATAACGATAGCTCACAATAAGGAAATTTTGGAAGCGAACAAAGTGTTACTTTAGGGTGCTGTTTGAATACGCGGGGTTATGACGGCCGGCCCTAAAATAAGAAAGCGCTCGAGGGTTCGGGTAACAAAAAGTATGGACGCTTTATTCGGTATACTATGTGACTCTTAATGACGTTCGAATAGAGTTGAAAGTCAACTGTTGACAGCTAGGGTCGGTTTGGGGTTCACCGTTCGGCGCGGTTTCATTTTTTATGTTGTCAGGGACGCCCGTCCCGAAAACAGCGCTTTTAAGCTACGCAGGCGCCCGACCATCAGACTGCCTGCTGAGAGAATCTACGGGCTCAGCGGGAAAGAGATGACAACGTATTTTGCCCGCGAATTTAGAAGCAGAATAACTTCCAAGACCGATTGCTTGCAAGATAAAAATACTCTGTATGTTGCACTCGAAAGTAGTAGAGTTATAGACTGATAAGATAAAGGATAATATACGGAGACAAGTCAAATGTTGCGCACACAACGTTGTTATGGAAAAGGGCTAGGTTCCGTACAAAAGACATTTGGTCTTGGTTCGATACTTCGAGAAGAATAGAGAAAGATGTGCATTAAAAAAGGTACAAAAAATTTTCATAAACCTTTTAAAAGAAGATTTGTAGGTAACTTTCGAAATATGTTACCAACTTTCGTTTCTTATGTTTTTTAAGTTCATAATTTCTGGTCATTAGATTTTTTCTTTATTTTATTGTAGTAATGGACCGGAGGATTTTACCATTCCACCCACTCTGTTACAACTATGATATCACTATTATCACGATTTGACGAATGTGAGATGTTATTATGAACCATATTCTACGAGCAATAACCACATCCATCGCGCGCGCCCGTATAGTTTGCTGTGCGCTTCGCTCGCATAGTCCGAAAGCACAAAGGATATTTGGTAGGATTAGTAATTTTCCTGGCTGCATCATTGAGGCTCGTTAGCTCAGCGGTTAGAGCACCCGGTTGAGTTTCAATAGAGGAGGACGGGGGTTCAAGTCCCTCACGAGCTGGTAATTTCTTTTGTAAATTTGAGTGAATTTTTGGTCTTTGAAGATGTAATTCCAGCGTGTTTTGTGATAATATTTTAATTTTACTATGTTAATAAGTAAATTGCCATTTTCACCTTAGGTTTAATGAATGGTAGTATAGTTGCTACCTACTAATATCCTACCTAACTACGTAATATCTAGTTACCATAAAAATACCCTATGTAATAAATAAAACCTAAACCTAAAATAATATTATTTTTATAAATTTTACATTTAATTGTAAGTACTAATTTAATTAAGTAATTAGACATTAAAAACAACATAAACAACATTAAAGAAACATTTATAATATTTTTTTCGAATCTCAAAACGCAAAAAGCCCTAACTCAAAAAAAAAACTATTTTACGTTTGCTCAATACGAAGCAATTTGTTGTTTCTATGAACGCGCGCCTTATTAGTATTCTTGAGCAAGAAATACGCCGGAGTGGGAATTAAAATTCTCCTTTTTGCCCCAAGGTCGGTGAGTTGTGACGGGTGATAACCACAGCGGGCACGCGGAGCGCGCTCGACCGCGATACGGAGAATCATGGTATTTTTATACCTACCTATTGGAACGGGCTACTACTAGCGCCATCTGTTGTTGTACATGCGAACTTGTTGCTGATAAAATTAGAAGGTTAAACTGTTGCTAAGCTTATGGATGTACTGATGACTTCATATTTGTGGTGAAGTTCACCCAAGTTCCTATTAAATTATTAGTTCATGTTTAATTACATTTTTATCTGATTCTATTTTTATATTAATATTATTTTGCCCGTCTTCGTTCTTTCGTTTCAGCCAAATGACGTCCACTGCTGGACAAAGACCTCCCCAGGCTCTTCCCGCGACCTTTACCAGATCGTTGGTCCACCTAGTAGGAGGCCTGCCTACGCTACGTCTTCCAGCCCGTCTTAGTTAGCGTGTATTCCAGTTTATCAAAAACATATTTTTTACGCATTCTTTGGCAACTGTGTGGTTAGCTGTTTCTGTGTAAGTTAATAAAGCGCTTCTTGAAAAGTATTCCAAAATATCCCGTAAATGTTCAATAAAAAAAGTAGTTATATAATAATTAGTAAAAAAACAAATTGATATGCAACAGGTTTAGGATTCTAGAATTTAGAATTCAGGTGTTGTGGGATTTTTTATTTACAAGTAGTTATTATACAAGAACTACATACCTACCCAGTAATAATTAAAATAAAATGAGTGTATTATTAAAATTATTATTAATTTTCTTGTAACACCTTTAATAGCACCTGGTGGTGCTATACAGTAACTATAATAATATTAATGATGCAATACAGTCATAAAATCCTAAGGATACCTACCTAGGAGAACAATGATATTCTAGTGCCATTTGACACAACTGCTCTATCTCGATTTCTATTTTCTACTGTATAAAAATAATGATACCTATTGAGTTACACACCCGGATCCTGTTCAAGTAATTTATACTTGCGTGTCTGAAAGCTGTGGACGATGAAATTTGTCCCGACCACTACACCTGCGGTAAAATTAATGCAGGGGCTTCCGTTGACTCCAAATGGAGTGGTAATTTCCTGACTATAATATTTTCAAAATAATTTTATCCCTTTTGTGATCTCGTTATTTATAAAATTATATGCATTTTATTGAAGAATGTAATTTGACGGTGAGTTCGTGTGGGGTAAAATTTATCGAGTTACACCTTAAATTGTATGAGGATACTTACTATGTTGTACTTAATAATGTTGTTTTTATTTTATGTTAAAATTCAGAAAAAAATATCACAAGCATAATGTTTGAATAAATAAAACATTCGAGTTAGAAAAATACAATCATAAGAATCTTCTTTATAGTGACTGCAAAATATATTTTTTTATCTACAATAATAATGAAACCATTAATTACCGCAATTACGTCAAACTACGTTAAATCACTTTCAATTAAGGTTTCACGAGATTCTTGAATGAAATGACGTCATCGCGTAGTATACAAACGCCAGTGGGTTTTAATATAGATAGGTATAATACCTATAGATTATCGGGTTCTTTCTTTTACGTCAGACGTTTGGTAGGGTGATTCACAGTTCACTTACAAAGTACCTGCTTATAGGGTATAAATTAATATATTTATCGCATATTCATTTGTTATGTCTAAGGTTGTTGACTGTTACAGCAACCATTTACTAGGTACTTTCTAATACGAATGACGTACGAGTAGGTAAGGTAGGTACTACAATTTTTTTGCAGTTCCTGTTTAATATCCATCCCACAACAAAAAATTAAATGAACTAATTCAACTTGTTATTGAGTATGGTTTATTATACTAAAACATAATCATATCAGTAGGGGATAAAATGTACCTATGTATTTTATGGACTGACTAGCCTTTGCCCGTGGCTTCACCCGCGTGAAATTTAGTTTGTCACAGATCGTCTGTTGCCTATAATAATGTTAATGTAGGTTATAACCAATAATACTGTAAAGTTTCATCAAAATCCGTTCAGTTGTTTTTGCGTGAAAGAGTAACAAACATCCATCCAGACATTCAAACTTTCGCATTTATAATATTAGTAGGATATAAAACGTAGCTTGCCATTTAGGTTATTCAATTAACATTCACTCAATCATGAGACGAGACATCATGCTTTTCGTTTGTTTTATTATCAGTTTAAGCGAGATAACTGGTTTTAGGATAATTTGAGAATAGCCCTGATGCAGCAGTGCTGGATAGAATAGGTCACAAGTACTAAGTAGTCACAACTCGGTAGCGATGTGAGACGGACGCCACTCGCCCGGCCGCTCTTTCCTCGCGCTCTTTCGCGCCGCGGGCGATTGCTCCACCGCGAATTTGGGCCAAGCACAAATATTTCCCTCTCAGTCTCACTTACCATTCACCTATATCTCCATCCTCCTTCTCCGATTCCACTCACATCGTTATTATACGCTCATTTATGTAATAAGTTCAATGTTTACATCGTGCGTATCAGGTGATGAAAGAAAATACATTGTGACTTGCCCCAGATAGCAACTGATAAGCTAAAGAAACGCAACTGCAACAGCTCCGATTTGTGTAGGTATGGAAAGGCGAAATCTTTGTTAAGTGTCTTTATTGTTATAGCGTTAAATTCATTAGAATATCACGTCTACTTACATAATATGACTTTACAGATATTTATAGCATAATTTATCCTTCACATAGTTTATTACAAAACAATATAGTTCCGGGTGAAGCTCACTTCCACCTTCGGCCTGATCATCACTTACCATCAGGTGAGATACAGGCCATGAGCTTCCTCGTAGTGGATAAAAAAAAGTAAAATACGTATAATTATATTCCTAACTACATTATTATTTATAAGATTTATCTTTAAAATTCTTTAACTACTTTGTGTGTAGTTGTACAATCTATGGAACTTTATTATGGTAATTTAGTCTAATTTCATGAGTATCAAGTAATGCCCTTTAATAGTTTTTTGGATTTATGTTACGGTCAAAGTGATAAATGTGAAAATTATGAATAATCGCCGGTTATTATGAATGCATGCATGCATGATTTGGTAAATGTGATTAATATGAGGTCATTTATGTGTGTATAAAACTAAATAGGCGGCTTAGGGGTGGCCCAAGGGCCACCCCCGTCGCACCTTAACCTATTTTTCACTTTAAATCAAAACATTATGTTATAGACATCATGGAAAAGTAATATTATGCAAAAAACATTCCAAACTTATTATGCCAAATTATATTTATATATGATATCAAAACGTTCAAAAGTTTGGCTGTACAGGAGCATGTACACAAAATGTTGTTCTCTTTTATGAAATTTGTTAGTACTAAGGTTGAATTATTAAATAATCACTGTTAAATGTGATTAATTTATCACTTTTACCGCGACTGTCGGTAATTATTCATAATAACCGGTTATTATTAATAATTTTCAATTTATCACATTAACCGTAACATATACATAAACACAAATTCAAAATGCTTAGCTATGATGTTCCACTAAACTAATTCCACATTGATAAAGAAATAACAACAACGGCAACGTCCGCAACATCATATAGGTATATAACCGACAAACTTCATAACACACTTTTCTGGCAAACCAACAATTGGTTCAGCGGAAATGTTTGGTCAATATTATTCCCTGTTTTCCTACTATTGACCGGTTGATTAGTGTTCAATACTTCCGTACACGGGGCAAACCAGGTCGTGCCATACGCGAGAAAGTGGGAAATCAATGGAAGTAAGTGCGTTTTACTGACACCATAAAGTAATAGTTTTTGAATTGCAATAAATTAGTAAACAATGCAATACCATCTTAGATTCCTTTTGCAAAAAAATTAAATTTATGACTTATCCCATTTTTTTATAAGCCGCGGCCGGTCCAATTTAGAATCAACATTTTTTTTGTTTGAATGTGTAAAATAAAAAAATACCTAATACCCTTTAATAATTTATTAAGGTCTTTTTAATTTAGTATAAACTTATATAGAGAAAATTTAATCTCGAATTCTGTATGAATTTAGAAATTTAGTTATTTTGTAAATTACCTATTTTAAAGCTTCAAACTAGTATATAGAGATGGCGCTGCATCAGGAATAATCAAATACATTTAGGTATGCCCACAACTCCCCCACCCCCAGCTTATCGTTTTTATAATCAGGTACACAGTTTTTTTTATTTGAGACGAGCTGTCCAAATAAAAAAAACTGTGTACCTGATTAATTGCATGAATGAAATCGCGGGCACAGTCCAGTCTAAAGATCACTTAGGTAGGTAAACTCATTACTTGAAGCAGGAACTGCTTTTTGATACGGTAAGCGGTTGATAAGAATTCTTGATAAATAGGTACAAGTAGTTCTTATCGCGCCGCTAACTTCAATAGCAATATCTTCGAAGAACTTTTAAAACGTGTGTATAACGTGTTACAACTCCTACTTGTATTTTATTACAAATCATTATTTTACGTCATTAAAAAAATGAGCTGTTTATTTATTCACGAAGGTGACTCTCTGATGTTTTGCTCTGCCTTTGCAGGGCGTCACAATAATATAATGTATACCCGTATCTTTATTATAACACCACTATGTGTTTCTGACATGATGCATGAAACAATTTTGACTCTTTCAAATTTTATAAGCTCTTGCTAAAAAAACGTGCGTAAACACGCACGTTTCACGTAAACTAGTGATCAAACGATCACTAGTTTTTTAGAGAAGTGTGTTCTTTTCGTGTAACTTTTATATAAAAGGAGAAGGACATTGTCAGAAAAACACAGCAAATAAAGCACAGTCACTGTTCGTGACACAAGTTGTTTACAGGTTTTGACGTTGTATGGTTGGAAGGAAACTTTATGTATTTCAGTGGAAAAATTACCTTTGTGAAGAATTGTTAAAGAAGTAACGTTGTAATTAATCATAGGTTTAATACAATGAAAACTTACTGTGAGTTTCGGTCGGGCAATACTATGGGAGAGACGATAATTGAATGACTTCTGTTTTAGGTAGGTACCTATCTGTAATAATAAAATGCAATCATGATTGCCTGCCTAAATGTTGATCTGATAAGGTAATGCGATACCAACTCACGTATTGCTTACTAATAATAATTTAATAACCAATGATAGGCTTTAATAGGTTTGGCTTTATTTAACATGCAGGTAAATACAGGATGAATATTACTTTACGTATTGAAATAAATTTTCTAATTGAACGAAAAGACAGTTAATTTATTTGAAATGTTAAAGTAAATCTGATAAGATAAATTACAAGATCCGCTGTTGAGAGGATTTGTATAATAAGACGTGTTTTAACGATCTCTACCTATTTGTTAAAAGTTTTAAGTTGGTTTTCTCTTAGATCTGAGCGGTACCTAAATATTATTTATTTGACTTATGCCAGTTTTCACTATCAATCCCAAAATTTTAGGTGACCCCTTTGAAAACAAAATTCCTGTTAGTGTCACTTAAAAATTTGGGATTGATGGTGAAAACGGACATTAGCTATACACTTTGTTTGATAATATTGCCTAGGTAGGTAAAGATATTACTAATGTCCTAAAATAATTAGATATGACTTGACATAATCTCTACAATTTGACTTACATTATCATTGCAGTATCAATAGATTAGATTGAATATGATCACTATCCCTACAACTATCATCGTTTCCTGGATATTTATAAATGAGATAGGTAATAATTATGACACGTTCAGTCAATTACCGTAAATTGTTCTGAATAAAGTGCGCGCGAGTGCGGCGCATCCTTCAGTTTCTGTTAATACTCAGTTATAATAATTTCAGTTTTCAATACGATCGTGTGTGCTCACTCATAGAAGCCGTGTTAGCGTAAGTCGTTTTTTTATACATAGTATTTTTTTTTTATAAAAATAAGTGTCCATATTTTTTTTATAAACGTTTCTTGGCAAAGTATTTGTTAAAATGAAGCACACTCGTCTTTTTGGATAATTCGGTAAAAAAAAAATAGAACTTTAAGTAACTTTAATTCAAACTTTGTGTTTAAGTGAAACAAATTACTGTAGATCCGCAAGGTTCACACCCACGATAATCTCTTTTCAGAACTACGACTAGGTACAGAAAATCAGAAATTAAGTATTTACTTAATTACTTCTATTTAATAATTTTCAAATAATTACTCAACCTCAATTTCTTCTTAATCGTCGATTTTTAATCGTTAATCAAATTACGTTCGTAACCTGCATTTAAATACAATGAAATAGTTTCGTAAATATTGGTAGGTTACCTATTGATCAACTTTTAGTATAGTACGTACGAGTAGGTTACTACCTAGGTACCTATTGTACTTTGTCCCCTACCTCTACAGAATCTCTTCAGAATTTTGCTCTTTGCTCCCAATTAAAAGATAAAGATCTTCTTCAGTAGTAAATTACTTATTATTGCGTAACCAGTGAGCTAAAGTTTTATATTGCTCGTTTGTAAATACACGTCCCGTTTATCAGTGCTCGCTGCGCCACCACCTGAACCGGCAACCTCGTTGATAAGGTACGAATATTGACAAGATTTATCAATAATTTATTAGCCCATTTAATTAAATAATTGCCCTTGTTGGACACGTAATGTCATACTATAAAGTGCACGAGGCAAATAAAATACTAACATTTTTATGGAAATTAATAAGGCAACTGCTATAATTTATTCGCGCCAAAAACTTTTTGCCAACAAATAATTACGGCTGCTTGTCTCTGAAACCAAAGTGTCTGTAGCAAGTACCTACCTATAAATCTCTAGTTTTTATAAATCAAAGATGGTGAGGTGCCGAAAAAAATTATATTTTATTTGTTTATTGAAATAATCTAAAGACCACTGAGCATTTTGATCTCTGTTTGATTAGGATTTCTTCAAAAAACTGCGCAGCATCAAGTTGCGCATTTAAATTCATATCATACTAGTATTTTAGATTAATTTAAAAATAAGATTATACTAAATTTTTATTTTTTTATTTTTAATATTTTTTAGCTTCTATTTAATAGATAAATACAGCAAACACTCTTTCAAGGAATTGTTTCTTTACGTATTCGATAGAGCTTGCACATTATTATGTTAAGCAAAAGAAAATAATTATTTTACTTTGCTGGCACTTTGCACTGCACATCATGAATACATTCGGGATACATGGCAGTCTCCAGACAAGTTACGTAAAAGCTGAGAAAGTGGAACACAGCTCTACATTTTGTTCAACTTTGTCACGCTAGGACTTCGAACTTGTTCTCATTTTATGCTGTGAATAGAATCATGATGAAAATCCAGAGTGCACGGAATTTAGACTATGAAAAAATCATGTGGTGTAGGAATAAAATAAAGGATGGAAATATGAGAAATCATTGATTAGCTACCATATTCGTTTTAGCTCATGGATTGATCGCAGATCATACGCATGCGCGCATGCCAAATGAAGGAGATTAAAACCGCTGTGAAATTATATTTTAACAGACAGTAATAATTAACAATCTTCTATTCCTCTTACTTAACGTGGCAGAAAATCACCTCTCGTTTGCAATGCTTGGCTATATTCCAAAAGAGCCAAACATCTTACAAAAGATAGACTTTTTGGCAAACTCCGAGATATGAAATCTTATTTTTCTGTTTGTAGCATTGAAGTTTTGTAAGAAAAATATGGAGTAAAATTATGATGAAACGGTTGATGAACTGTGAATAATTATAAATTTTGGAAAAACATTTTCTTTAAAGATTCTTTTAATTTTGCAGAGCATGATTGTGTCCATGCGTAGAGGTACGTACGTAGGCACGAGTAACGTAGAGTGTAGGTAGGATCCACAAACTATTTGATTAACTAGCTGGTTAGGTATAATTATATTCCTCTCGGGGTTTAACGTGTGTTCAACTTGGGTGCACTTAAGTCTCTCGCTATACCCTGGACTGGATTTTAGTTTTGAACGCATCGCTTCACTCAGGCAGGGTTTAATCGCATTAAACTCTGATACGCATGATTCAATAGTGCCCATGAGGCGTTTAAACATCCCTTCATCTATTTAATCTTTAATGCCTTATAAATTGTTACAAAGAGCGAATTTAATGCCATAAGGCATTCTCTGCCAGTTAACCTCTATCCCATTTCGTATTGACCGATGAAAAACTGAATGTCATTAAGATAAGACTTATTTTCTGTTAGCATGTGCGCGTCACATTCTTTTAGTACCAATCAAAAATAAAAACATTTGCTGTGCACGCAAAAGCCTAGTGAAATAACACGAAAATAACGTTGTTTTTTAAGCTCCGGCGCACTTGTTTGTAGCTGCTGTTTTTATCTGTTTGCTTGCACTTTGTGTCGGTCCATAGTCCAACATTTGTCCAACTAACAGGCAAGGCTAGAGACTTGTACTGATGATACTAATAACTACATTGTTATTCAAGGGTATAGATAGACGTCATACCTACATGTTTATTATTGCAGGTATGAATTTACTTTTATGTTTAGTTTTTATTATTTTGTTCCTGAAACGTTGAATCATTTCCTAATTAATGGTAGGGGCGAACTGCGGAATCAACTAATTTTTAGTTAGCAGTTGTTTTGGTACCTGCTATTCGGTTTTTCGGAAACTTCACTTGGATCCTTTTATCACGTGAAGTCGTGAACTGTAACAGCGTTCACCAACCGGCTACTAGGTATTAGTCAACAAAACCAATCGGTAAATATTGTCGAACGATCGATAGTTACCGAACAGTTCTGAATCGCTTACCATGTCAGACTGCAGAGACCTCCTTAAAGGTACACGTTTGAAGCTCGCGATAAAACCTGAAATAAATAATTTTCGGACTATCATGTTGGTGAAATTCCAGCTTACCACTTACCACACAAAGAAAAGAAAAAACATGAAGTCATTTCCAACCTACCTAAGGAATTGAACCCGGACCTTCGGATAGAGCGAGTCCAACTCCCGTTACTAGACCATACTCCATAGAGATGTCTCTGAGCCTTTAAAATCGTTTTACTTTGTAATAAACTTACTTCTTGCTACGTTTTCGATAATAATACGTAACATAGTAGGCACTTACATATCCAATGAACTTGCCCATGAACGTATTGACACCGATCGATATCCACAACCACACGAATGACACAGTAAACCGTTTCAAATAAATTATAGTATCTACCTATTCAGCATAGAATATTACATAAGTATTCAGCAGTCAATATTTTATTATGACTGATTGGCAGCAGTTGTAGGTATTGGCCATTGGGCAACCTAATTACTAACGTGAGAGGTACTTATTCTATCACAGACTTGAATGAAATCGATCTTGAAGAATGGTTACCCATCTGTTTTGAATTTTGATAATAAATAACAACATTACTATGCAGATGCACCTACTTAGTACCTATTACTACTTACTTCTACTACGAGTAGGTAACTCTTACCTAATTAGATTCAAGTCATTTAACTTCACTTTAATTTTGACATACTATAGTTAACTCGCAGGTTTCTATGTAGAGTCATCCTAGAAATAAACCCACACGTGTGTAAATTTACACGATTCATTTCAGTATTTCGCACCATAGTGCGTGCCTAAATTATTTGCGCTTTTTGATAACGTCATAAAGTTCGTAGTTAGTTGCCATCTTATCTAACATTGATAAGGTTCATTAACTTGAATGTAGGCAGGTAGATACTCTCTGTTATTGCAGACCGTCTCAAGGACTATAGTTCAATCTAAGGTTCAACTCAATGTCAGGGTTAACAGGGCACAAGGTAAACTTTGCAGTTCTAGAAACATATAAAAACTTTTATTAAGTTTGTGATGCTATGAAATCGCGTAACTAAATTTCTCAATTTTCTATAATTTTCCCATAGCAAACATTGCTAAATATAATATTTAATGCTGAATTGGTCATGTGGCTTCAAGAACGTCTTCGAAGGCGAAGCCTACGACCATTTACATCGATTTAAGCTAAATCAGTGAATCATAAAAAAATCAAAAAAATCTGAAAAAAGTCAAAGGTAAGCTTTCGCTTACCGAGCGACCGCTGAACCACAGGCCGAACTACCGAGCTACGGAGGCTTATGGAGTAAACACATTCCTGAATTAAAGACGCAAAATCTGTCCCTTGGCATGCGTTTCAAAAATCTAATGACCAATGAAAATGCGCCCTTAGTTTGAGATGGCACTCACTAAAAACTCATAAAAATATACCATGTCTTCTTTTACAGATATTATGGGTACAAGCCAGCTAGCAAGGTGACCAGAACACAATGCCGGTGCTGCGTAACGCCGACCACCCCGCGGCGGTGGTCACCGACTCCATTGCCACCAGGTATGGCGTGGCGGTGCTCGGCGCCTGGGCTGCTGAGAGCGGTAAGCACGGCCTTCATCATCATCATCATCATTTCAACCACAGGACGTCCACTCCACTGCTGAATATAGGTCTCTCCCAATGATTAATTGCCCAGTTGGAAGTGGCATGCATCCAGCTGCCAGCATCTTCGACATCCGCATAAATTACATTTTTATCCCGCCCGACTAAAATAATATTCACCTCTCAAGAGGAAAGACTAGCGATTAAGGTCAAATGGGAATCTTTACGACCCTAAACTCTAGGTAGGAGGCACTAAACAGAACGTTGTACACCGAAGAGAAGTGAGAATCATGAGCTGATCATTTTGGGCTTTTCTTTCTAAGAAGATATAAATCCTTTAATGGGGTATAGTTTTTACCATCCTGTCCTTTAGTCAGCAAGTTCATCTATTCTATTATAGACGGTCTATACCTATAGGCAACCACAACAGTGCTATCCCTATACCCGCATGATTTTACCCATGACAGGACAGACAGGAAGGTCGGTCCCTTGCAACCCTCCCGTATAATTTCTAAAAATAGACGGGTCATTTTGTTGACTCCTTTAACTCATTAATGGATTCCGGTCTCAAATGGAGGGACAAAATTTCGTTGCATTAGTTACCGAAATCGAAATGAATGGTAATAAAATAAAGTATGACGAATAATGGCCTAACTTATGAACACATGCACGTTTTTCAAAAAATGAAGCGAGTACCGAATTGCAGCGTTTTATCAAGTCTAAATCACAATCCAAATGGTGTGACACTTTGACCTAACCCAATTTGGCTTCCATTAAATACTTAATGAATTGAATGCAGGCAGACAGAGCTTTGTTGGCTTCTAAAATCCATTACCGACATTATTTGACGCTCCTTGCCTATTGTTCAGAATGAGCAAATAGGAAATTGTTTTAGCTATTGGCCTTTTAACATTACCACGATACCTAGACTTAAAGAAAATCGAGCGAAACCTTTTAAAGTAAATGACTGTCTGAAAATTCGCTATTATTGAGCGGTTTGTTCCGGTGTATCGGTATCGTAACCAGACAGCGTGAAGCTGATGATATCATCAAAATATTTGTTTCATTAATCATATTAATTTTAATTACCCCGATAACCCCTAGAGGGGACGAATCTGCTTCTTAGTGAGTGAGCCGAGTCCAAGGCACACTTGGAAAATATTAGTTAGTAAGTAGTTCTTAACTAAACTGGGAACAAACAAATGCGTTAGTTTCATAGGTATTGCATAGACACATCCGTACAAAATGTATTCTTTTGTTTTCAGCGACCTATCCATTTGACTTGACGAAGACAAGAATTCAAATACAAACTGAAGTCGCGGCGACAAAGGATGGATTCAAGGTAAAGTATAGAAAATAAATATGTTTGTGCATCAAGCTAAATGACATCTTAAAGATTTTTCATTCGAGCCAACACGGATGTTAGTTGATTACCTATTTTCACAGGTCGAGAACATCGGCATGATCAAAACCGCGGTAGGCATCGCTAAGCAAGAAGGAGTTCTGAAGCTATGGGCTGGGCTGATGCCTATGTTCCAAAGACATGCCATCTACTCCGGCTGTAGGTTGATCTTCTACGAAAAGTTCAGGGAAATGATGAAGAACGATCAGGGGAAGAGCTCACTGGCTTCGGCGTCTATTGGTGAGTTGTTTTTGTCTTTTAATTTTAGTAATTTTAGGCGACATGGCGATATTTATAAGTAGGTAGAAACGGTAATTTCTCATAATTAAAGCAATAAAACACAATTAGCCAGGTTGGCAGTTAAAGAGAGAAGTACGTACTTACATAATTACAAAATATCTAGGATCAGTTTCACCAGTTCTAGCTAGATCTCGAGTTCTCGACACACAATATAGGTAACGCATTCTAAAAAAATTTACTGGTCCACAAGTTATCAGCCGCAATTCGAACGCAACTTACAGTTGTAATTTTTTTTTAATTCTTAAGTATTCAGTCAGGAACCGGTGAAACTGGCCTTAAATGCTAACCTGTTTCGTGTCCAGCATAAAACAACAACGTAACGAATTCCGAAGTCCCACAGGTGGGTTAGCGGCCGGGTCTCTCGCGCAGCTGATCGCGTCTCCCACCGATCTGGTCAAGGTCCAGATGCAGAGTGAAGGTCGCAGGGTGGTGCAAGGATTCGCTCCGAGGTTCCAGAACTGTCGGCAGGCGTACGCTGTGCTTTATAGGGAGAGCGGGATCAAGGGCTTTTGGAGAGGTGGGTAGTTATTAAAAGTCGTTATTATTACAGAGTACCGGCTTCTTCAGTGGAATTTGCTAAACACAATTTCCTATGTATTTTAGCGCCCAAAATCACGTAAATTTTACATGGTTCTAACCACAATCATGTGACTGCGTAACCAATAGCATTGCGTATAAAACCTGGCGTTCGTGATTAATCCATTAGAGACAGTCAACACTGTATATCTGGCACATAAAAATTTTTGTTGAAGGACTTTTAGAAAATCTCTAAAATTGCAGATGCTTTTTGAAGAATCTCATGTTCAGCTTTAGCTTCTAGTCTCGCATAAATGACGCTGTCTAATTTATTTTTGTTTCTTATATTCCTTGTATTAAACCAATAACAAACTACTGGCCGATTTATTTACTCAAATAATAAAATAAAAAACTCACTTTCCAGGAGCGATACCAAACGTGCAGCGAGCGGCGCTAGTCAACATGGGCGACTTGGCCGCTTACGATTACACCAAGCAGTTCCTCATCCGAGAAGTTGGCATGGCTGACAATGCTTTGGTCCACGCGGCAGCTGCCTTCACGGCTGGCTTCGTGGCAGCTGTGATGGGCACACCGGCTGACGTACTTAAGACCAGACTCATGAACCAACCTGTGGGCCCGGATGGAAGGTAAATAAATATTTTTAACCCTTTACGGCGCTCAATTGCAGTTCTGCATCATACCACTTGAACTCATAGAATCTTTCAAACAGTAACAAAAATACCTTATAACGTAGTGCGGCATATCTGCAGCAAAGCACCCTTACGAGTTAGTTAACTCTGTTTGTGCTAGATGGCGCTATTTTATTTTTGTGATCACCTAAAGTGAGAAACTTGTAAAATCCGGTTTGTTTTGTTCGGTGGTGATTTTGATTCTTTGTTTTTCTGGTGTTAATGAAAATATTGATCTGAAATTGGTGTGGAGTGAGGGTAAGTTATTGGTTTTCAATAATTTGATATATTTGAAATGATTTTTATTGTATTTACAGAATTAGAGGACAATTTTCTTATGATGCAGTTATGCATCATTGCGCTTTAAATTTATCATTTTTACTATGTGTCTAATATCTATCTCTTTTCTTCTAGACCCATTATGACTTCGAGGCTTCCACATCCAGGTACCAGGACCCAATCTTGGACGACTGAGGACTTGGAGAATATTCTGGACCAATGGGAAAATAGTGATGATGGCTCAGATTTCTCAGACAACGATGATGTAGCTGATCCATCATACACATTGGAACCTAATGAACAGAGAACTCTGATGAGGAACCAGAAGTACTGGAGCCAGAGGACAAGAACATCTTGCCGCCGTACTTTGAGGCTGATAGCAGCACTACAGCTCAGCCATGTGATACATTGCAAGCTGTTCCTGCCCCTAGTTCCAGTTCTGCCACCATATCAAGAAGCGCGCTTATCCCTAAAGGCAAATACACTATGGAAAAATGAAAACTTAGAGCTTAGTGTAAACCAGATAAGGTTCAGAAGATCTTATGACCTGGCTAATGAAATCCAAGAGCTGCCGTGAGATTTTAGCTTTGGAAAACGTTAGGTGAAACCGCATTCTTAACTGTAAGCTCCCAGAAGGAAAGCAGCTAAAATGATAACCTAGAGGAACATCAGTTGAACAGGTTTCAAATTATGATGGCGTTGGTATATCCTTGGTAGCTTAATAAGATTGTGAATCGGGTATCCAGCATTGCTGGCAAGAACCTCACATCCGTAGTAAAGTAGAGTTGACAAGTCACAAAAGAAACATTACTGTAGAGGGGGCCTTTTATAGTAGCAGAATATTATCATCACATGGGAGGACCTGATGGACCGCGTAATGGTACATTATAAGATTAAACTGCGTAGTAAACATTGACACATAAACCTCTCTTACCCCCTACTTTTTGGTACGATTTTACACCATGATGCACTTCTGCAACACCATGTTTTTTTCAAAAATAAATACTTTTTTTTCAAGTGTGTTTTTTTAACTATTTTTCCCATCTTCTATATACCTCATACGACCTGTTTTTGATATAAAAATAATAAAATACGTTCTTGCGCCGTAAAGGGTTAACGCATTTACACTTCAATGTCAGCACTCCGAATTTAAGACGTTTTTGAACGCCCACCGGACCCGGGTAGTAGTAGATGGATAGTTGGTTTTTTACTACTCCAGCAGTGGACTGGACAATGATACTTATTTACGTTGTTTTAAGGATAAATTTAGAAGGAAATAGATGGGAATAATCATATTTGTTTGACTATAACTATTTGCGCACATTGCAAATAACTATTTTCGATCCAATGAAGAGGCGTGAATTCTGATAAAAATTATAATTTGGTAATTAAACTTACTGACGTCACTTCGGATACACCTAACCTCTAATCCATATCTGTGCACCTAACATAATAAATGTCAATTTGCTGACCTAATTAATGCATTTAAAGCGCATTCCATTGTTGTAGCAGTGCCTATTGTTAGTAAAAAACAACAATCGTAAACATTTTACTGCATTGCAAGGTTTAATCAAAATCAAATTTTAGTCAGTTTAAGTATAATCGATTTTTATTCAAGTTAATGTGAACCAGCTATGATTTATTTTTGGGCGGTTTGAAACGTTGCTGATGTCATTAATTTCGTATTCCCCCCACCCCCATTGTTTTATCTCGCCAAGCTACTAAAGTTGTAAATCCCATAAATCTCAATTTGCATAAGGTAATGTTTGCGAAATAAATTATTTATCGCAGTAGAATTTAACGTACTAATTCGCTGTATACGGGCATTAGTTAGGTTTATTAAAAAATAAGCAGTCTTTCTAAGTTAAAGCGTAAATTAGGTTTATATGACTAATTAACAAGTCTAATCTATTCCTGGGTTTATTAGTCATCGTAGTTAGAGAACTTGTGATGTGAACTTATGCTCTGTCGCACTGACCTGCAAATTGCTGTAGCCAACTACAAGGATGAGTCAACGGGAAATCTGGGATCAAAGTCAACAATAATTATTAAAGCATTATTAACAATGCAATTGTTAACGTAGCTAACTTATTTTTAAAACCATTTGTTTATTATGTTGTAAGCTTTGCGACTGCAAATTGCATGAAACCCTCCGAATATTGAGGGATATTGACAATCTACTTTCAGTTTCGCGGTCCACTTTCACCGGACAGACGATGGAGGGTCGCCTATACTTACACCGTGCTTATACACGTGCCGATCTAATTTTGTGGACCGATTTCTACTTATCTGTCCGTGACGTCAGTCTTTTCTTATCAGAGAAAATGGGAATTAATGTGACCCTTTTAATTGTTCTAACTGCTTGATTAGTTTCATCTGCGTTGCTTGCATTAATAATACCACTTATTTTGTGATAATGCATTGTTTACCTGCTTAGTGCAATTAATTACAGAAATTGGATAGGTACCTAATTACCAGTTTTCCGTCAATAAGTTTGGATATAAGCCATTTTAATATCTAACGGTACCTACACTATGGATCGAAATTGAGATTTATGGACATAGCGATTTTTTTCACAATTTCTATTTGAAATAATTACCTATTGATAGGTTACGTTATTTTGATGAATAAATGCTGCGCAAGTTTTTCTCTAAAACCAATAGATTGGCTGGAAAAAAATATTTTCCATTTTCGTTGTATGGAATGAAACATAAAGTGGTCGATTTCTACTAAGCCTTGACAGATCTTGCTTTGAAACTACTTGAGCCTTGTTATATGGCTTGTTGACTATAATCCTACACTATCAGCGCGCGCCCAAAGTTGCCCGTTCACAAGTTATGAGGTTCTGAAAAATTAAAAAAAAGTAAGTGAAAGTGACTTTTTTTTGGAATATCTTTAAATATATAACGAAAATATAAAGATTCTATACGTTAATAATGTAAATTAACCTTAAATTACTGATGAAAACACATTTCAATAAAATTAATAGTAATAAAACAAGCGATTTTTTTTCACAATTACTGTTTAAAAAAAAACCTATCGATAGGGTATGTTATTCTGATGAATAAATATCATTAAACGTTTTTCTCTAAAACCAATAGTTTGGCTGGAAAAAAATATTTTCCATTTTTGTTGTATGGAATGAAACATAGAGTGGTCGATTTCGACTAAGCCTTGTCAGATTTTGCTTTGAGACTACTTGAGCGCGCTGATAGTGTAGGTTTTAGAGAAAAAAGTTTAATGATATTTATTCATCAGAATAACATACGCTATCGATAGGTATTTTTTTAAACAGAAATTGTGAAAAAGAAATCGCTGATTTTATTAATTTTAATTTTATTAAAATGTGTTTTTATCAGTAATTTAAGGTTAATTTACATTACTAACGTATAGAATCTTTATATTTTCGTTAAATCTTTAAAGATATTCCAAAAAAAGTCACTTTTCCATACTTTTTTTAAATTTTTCAGAACCTCATAACTTGTGAACGGGCAACTTTGGGCGCGCGCTGATAGTGTAGGATTACAGTCAACAAGCCATAGAACAAGGCTCAAGTAGTTTTAAAGCAAGATCTGTCAAGGCTTAGTAGAAATCGACCACTTTATGTTTCATTCCATACAACGAAAATGGAAAATATTTTTTTCCAGCCAAACTATTGGTTTTAGAGAAAAACGTTTAATGATATTTATTCATCAGAATAACATACCCTATCGATAGGTTTTTTTTTAAACAGTAATTGTGAAAAAAAATCGCTTGTTTTATTACTATTAATTTTATTGAAATGTGTTTTCATCAGTAATTTAAGGTTAATTTACATTATTAACGTATAGAATCTTTATATTTTCGTTATATATTTAAAGATATTCCAAAAAAAGTCACTTTCACTTACTTTTTTTAATTTTTCAGAACCTCATAACTTGTGAACGGGCAACTTTGGGCGCGCGCTGATAGTGTAGGATTATAGTCAACAAGCCATATAACAAGGCTCAAGTAGTTTCAAAGCAAGATCTGTCAAGGCTTAGTAGAAATCGACCACTTTATGTTTCATTCCATACAACGAAAATGGAAAATATTTTTTTCCAGCCAATCTATTGGTTTTAGAGAAAAACTTGCGCAGCATTTATTCATCAAAATAACGTAACCTATCAATAGGTAATTATTTCAAATAGAAATTGTGAAAAAAATCGCTATGTCCATAAATCTCAATTTCGATCCATAGTGCGGTAGTTTGAAAGTAAACTGTGTATTTATTGCAATAAGTTTCAAATTAACTTATCACCTTGCAACCTGCACTCAATGCGTAATGCGTGCAATCCAAGGCTGCGATAGATAATAGTCGAAAATCGATCTACCGCGTGTTTCGGTGAGGTCTGGGGCAGAACAGCTGTGTGGTCGAGGTCACGACAACGGGGTCAAAGTCGAACCGCGCGCAGGCTCGCGTCGACTCCTTTTGCTTTCGAAAGGCAAAGCGTAGGGTTGGGTGCGTATGTTAGATGGATTTAACTTTATAGGTATCCCACTTTCGACCTTATCCCATGAACATAAAAATCAACATTTTGATTCCAAACTGATAGGGTCCAGAAAGTGGGAATAGATTCGTTTGAAATACATAACAATGAATATGCAAATATTTATTTCGGAACGGATGTAGTGTGGTAGAGAAAAGGGGCGTGACGTTGGAAGCGGACTTTCTAAAACAAAATTATAAAACTGAATTTTAACACTGCACTGATTCAATATTACAACTTTACAATTAAAATCTGGTCGTTTTATTTGAGAAAAATGCCGTGAAATTAACGATGTTTTTTTATCTTTTCCAGAGGCAAGCTTTACCGAGGCATGATCGACTGCCTACAACAATCAGTGAAGAACGAAGGGATCATGTCTCTATACAGAGGTTTTCTCCCCCTGTGGATGCGACTGGGACCCTGGGCTCTCATAAACTGGATAGCATTCGAAAACATCATGCTAGCAATAGGCGGCCATACGTTTTAAAACATTCAAGATTGTAGATTTTTTGTTAACCGATAGTTTGGTCGAGTTGTTAATCAGTGAGAATGCATGAAAGTGCGCACTACTTACACCGATTTGGTATCGGCCGATTCCTCGTACAATTTAGGCCGACCAGACTATCGGTTAATAAAAAGTCTGTAGTCTAGGGGCTCTTAGCTACGTTATAGGAATTGTTAAATACAAATAAAGTTTATTTTTATTACCAAATGAAACGACGCGTAGCTATAAAGAATAAGAGTGGAGAAGTAGGATTTTATGTTAAGAAAAAGTGATAGTAAAATAAGCGTTAGTGACTTTTTATTTTTATTTGGTTAAATCAATCTGTAAAATAGATACATGTTTATTTAAATCACAGGCATTGATAACACTGACGCAATAAAGAATTACATAGACTAGGTATACATTTACATTATTGTATGAACATATTATTCTAATGATTAATGAAAATGAATTAATGTATTTATCATATTCAGACAACGAATTTTTTGTGTATTCTCAAGTGTTGTCAGATCTTGTGAGATTTTTGAAAACGAACAAAAGTCTCGAAATTTTATTGAGTTATTTACACATTTAGAAGGTGCTACTCATAACACTTACATGTTATACACATTTTAATACAATACTATACCGAATTGATTGACAATACTTATTGCAGTGTCTCAAGTTGTTACCATCTTGCCTGTTCACGAGTGTTAGTCGTGTAATATTGACAAACGATACTGTGATTGTTCCTCTAAGAATAGATGTATGATTTCACAAAATGATTTAGCAAGCAAAACCTAGACTAAACGTAGATGTAGGGAAATATTGTCTTAAAACTATCATGTATATTAGTTGAAATATTGAATGTGATGTTGTTAAATCTAATAAACTATTTATAATGTTGAACAAATACATGGCTATTATTCACAAAACAGTCTTTCCGGTTATGCAATAGAAATGAAACACAAAATTACAATATTAAATTTATTAGTAAAAAATATTATACATCTTCCACAATATTGGAGAATCATAACTTAATTATTTAAATATTTGATTATTATAGATTATAGCACTTCTTTTTCTTAAAACTTGCCTTCATGCACTTATTTGTCACTACAGCGAGAAGCACAAATTCATGGACAATATTTCGAATTTATTGGTGTATTATATTTGTATATCTATATATTTCTCACCAGTTGACCGATCACAACTTGCGCGTTACGATTTGCATTGCTTATCCTATAAATACACACAGTAAATGCTTTGCTGAAGGGGAAATACAAAAACAAGCCGCTCGGGACATCCTCGACTCTACAGAGGAAGCGATCCCGAACCATTAAGACTCAAATTCTATTCACGTACGTTTCGATAAATATAGTAATTTTGGGTACAATACAATAACAAAAATAAATATCTACATTGGATCAACGACCACTCAAAGTTTTATCCGTCTCAAGTCTTGACTAAATGTTAACGCTAACTAAGTACAATGACACATTCCGAGTGCCACGATTTACAAACCTCTTCGAACGTAAGACATATCCAGTAGACTACTCGCTACCGTCGTCATATACTATAATGTATTCATTAATCATTATTTTACGTTAAAATTTTAGCAGATTTCTTATTACATTCGTTACTTTCTCATTAATTGGTAAAACACTAAAACGGTAACAAATGATCAAATAAACACATCAAAAGCGATAATAAAAGCACGATGTTACATTTACATACATATTATTATATTAAATCCTCGCTGTATAATCCGTTCTATCAAAACATGGTTGTATCCAAAATAATTTCACAAAAACATTCAATATCTGTAGTACAAAATTGTGCGTAACGCAACTATTCGTCTGGCCTAAGTCTACGAGAGCTAAGCTTTAAGGACGCTACATTTTACATCCTACGTGACTATGGTACCAGATTAAATACTTTTGAATACCAATGATAAAAAAATAATGTTGAAATGTATAAAATGAACTTAAAGCTATTACTTAACTAACACGTAAATGGTAAATATTTTAAAAATGAGCATTATAGACTAATAAAATAGGATAAATAATGGTCATACTTTAAAAATCACATCAATAAAAAACCTATGCATGGGGAATTTCAGTAATAGAACTGATTTGATCCCTATTTATTACTTTTATATTACTAAACATATTTCAAAAAACTACAAATAACATTCTGGCACGTAATTAAGGACAACGTTGCTGTTTCGTCCTGCAAATTGTCACGGTTACATATTATAATAAAGGAGACAGTAAATTCGTCACATAACACCAAACGCAACACTGCACGAAGTAAATTTTTGTACTACCAAAATTCTTTATTGCATAAATTAAGGCATTTTACTCACGACTAATACGGACTAACATAGCGGCCACATGGTTCGCATTACAGAATAATTCAGATTCGTGTGATCGATTGTAGAAAACAAAGCACCATGTATCAGAACATTACACGGAGAACGGGCGTGGACCGTGAGGCGTACTCGGCAGCAGGGCCGCGGGCACGGAACGTTCACCAAACAACACACAGACTAAGAAAACTATAACGTTTCCTCGCGTTACGTACTAAGCGTCGTAGTAATGTAGTGATATGAGCGTAGTATAATGTTATGGGTGTCGATCCGCGGCGGGCGCCCACTAGGCGGCGTATGCCCACGGGGCGACGGGCTCCCACTATGAGTGGTACGCCGTCACGTACGACGCCGGGAAGAGACCGCGCCGGTGAGCAATCTCGCCCTGGAACAAACATGTCAAATTGTCAATACATTAGCATCGTGATTTGAAAACGCTGCAGCGCTGGTTCTAGAATTCTAGATCTGTGAACCCAAATCCTAAGGCCTTTTCCATGAGGGCGAATTCGCCGCAAATCCAACGCGCGTTGGCCAGATACTAGCAGCCAATACATTGCGTCCACAACACCAAACGCAATCCTCCCTCGCAGACGCAGTCCTCGTATTCGCGCGAAGACATTCGCGGCGAATTCGCCCTCCTGGACAAGGCATCACAAGCATAATATTTAGCTTACTTGGAGAGGTTATAAAAACATCGCTAGATCATTTGGTATCTACTGCAGGAAATACTCCAATTTACTAAAGCCAAATGGTGGATTTAGCCTACACCCTACTAGACGCATATTATGCCAGAAAATTCCCGGTTTTATGGTAAATGCAAAATTTATATTATAGATTTCGTCAATTTATGTGGCATCAGCGGTATGTAATGGACCATTTTGGCATAGAACAGTACTGTACTGTGGAATAAATCAGATAAAGAAATTTTCTGTGAATTCACAACTTGCTGTGGAGCAATAGTGGTATCGCGAATTCTAGATGAACTAATTTTGAGACATTATCAAAATAAAATTATCACTTCACGGGATTTATTGCAACAATATCTATTTTATAGTAAAAAATGCAACATAATAGTTTAAAATATTATATTATCAAAATAAATCGAATAAGTATTCTGCGAATAATATTTATGACGTAAAAATGATTCAATTCTACTAACATCTGAGCAAATTCGACACTTTTTCCTATTAAGTTGACTGTATGATTGTGAAATCATTTATGAAAAACAATTATGGGAACCTGACATAACTAAGTTTGCTTAATGCGGGCTTGCAACCTATGGTATGTAGGAATGTAGGGAAAAATCCAAACGAATGGGTACGACCTACAAACGTGGAGGGAAAGTTCTGGTAAACCATTTAAAATGACGCAGCCGACCGCGTTAGGTGAATTCCTTAATGCATTATTTATTTAAGAAAGCGATTCTGATTGCATCACACAATTTAGAGCAATGTTACAGACTAGACTAGGTCAATTTATATTTCTATATCCGATTCTAATGGACGATTAGATTGGTATTATACTGAAGTTTCTCATAGCTTCGCGGGGTATGATTGATCTAATTTCAGTAATTGCTATTGGTCCAATATTTAAGGACTTGAACTGAAAATATGATTATATTAAAACGAACACTGTTTCTATATTCTATTCCAACAATTTTTATAGGTTTTAAGCTGATAAATAGGAGCAACGATTTCTCGGTTTATTCTTTATCGGTTTATTGACTCTAACTAGAGGAAGATAAGCCCGAGATTAAATAAAATTATCCGGTGGCCTCGGCGCAGACGAGTAAGTATTTATCTTTATTTAATAACAATAATAACTATTCATTTTTATTTACAGCAGCGAACCCCTTAAGTGCCTTTTTCCTGTGATGCGGATTTCTGCACGCGTGCGGATCTAGTCCTCATGCGGACTGCCCGCATTTTATTATTAGCAGAGTCATTATAATATGCACACCACTGATTAAAAAGACCAGTAGCCTCATTCACGTAATAAAACTTCAACGACAACAAATCGCTGAATGCGATCCTATCGAGTAATCGTTCTATCGATATGACCCTTATGAATACCGATTTAGAACTGTTTTCAATGGGACGACTTCTGAACGTCAGCGAGATCTTGTCTGTCAAAATACGTGAATTAGGCCACTGATCCGCACACGTGCCGAAATTCGCATCACAGGAAAAAAAGTACTAAGGGCTGATTTTTCATCTTTGGATAACTTTTAACTGAAGAATAAAATTGTTGTCATTTTGACATATTTCCCATACTGAAACTGTCAATGTGCCAAACTTATTCTTCAGTTCAGTAACAAAAGTTAACCAGCGATTGAAAAATCAGTCCTAAGTTCCATTAGGAGATTAGACCTGGATTGGTCAAATTGAAAAGCGGGAATATGTACCTACATAGACTTGGAAACCGCGTCTTGGTAAATGCAGCGTGGGACGCTTTCCATCAAGATGGAGCAGAGATACTCAAGCATAATAACGGGTTTTGTTATGCTGCAAGTAATCTAGCGTTTAACAATACCTGGATATCGTGGTGAGATACAAAGGTATTAATTATTATATGAAGAACAGAATTATTCCAAGGCTAACTAAAAACCTTTCTAAAAGAAGAACCCAAAGACATGAATGGTTTTTAATCTACAGAAAATTTTAGTTTATTCTTGCTTGAAATTCATATTCAGTTGAGTTGGCAAATTAATACAGATTGTTTATAAAAGATAAGAAAATTTATTGATGGACAATTTGGGGACGCCTATAATTACTGATTTTGGGCGAGAGATGCCACATGTTAATCTATATATATAAAAGAAAGTCGTGTTAGTTACTTCGCTTATAACTCAAGAACGGCTGAACCGATTTAGCTGAAAATTGACAGGGAGGTAGTTTAGAGCCAGGAGAAGGACATAGGATACTTTTTATCCCGTTATTTATTGCCATTAAGGCGGAACAAAGTTCGCCGGGTCAGCTAGTATTTCATACATTATAGGATTGGTCGCAGAAAGATCTTGGATGCGGGCAGTGCAGGACCAGTCTGTGGAAATCCTTGGTAGTCTTTGTCCAGCAGTGGATGTAGAGAAAAAAAAATATAGACGAAAAGTATCCCCACCTGCCACCAATGTTGATCGGAGCGGTCGGTGACGGTGATGACGTCACCGCGCCTGAACTCCAGCTCACCGGCCTCCTGCGGCGTGAAGTCGTATAGCGCTTGCACCAGCATCTGTAAAAGTATACACAGTCATAAAATGGACAGTTTAGTTCTAAAACTTTTTCGAATCGACACGATCAGCGGCCAAAATTAATGTTCTGTCAATGATTTAGGCCCGGTTTCCACCGAGAGATGTCAATGAATAACCAGCAAAGAAGCTTCGGTTCAGATATATGGTTATTCAAACACATCTCTTCTCTTCGCTTTGGTGGAAACCGAACCTAAGGCTGCTTTGCCACAAGAACTAAGCTGCCTTGCGAGGGACGTGTTTTTGTTCTTGACAAAACAAATAGAATAATACTTCATTTACTTAACCTCGCTCAGTACAGCTTTAGTAAAGCTGCCTGTCCACCGGAGCGGAGAGAGGGAGTAATTCAGAGCGGAGCGACTATTCCTTAGACGCGGAGCTAGGTGGAGCGGAGAGAGAAATGCGGAGCGGAGATGCAGACATGTTTCTTCAAGAGTAGAGCTGGACTGCGAGCACGCGACGAGTCGTTAGCGCTGCTGGCGGCGAGCGATTGGTTCCGCAGCAGTAGATTCTCCGCTTCCGATTCCCCCCTCCGCTTCACATTTTTGTATGAATTTTAATCTAGTTCGCAATTCCCTGACTACTAAAGAGGAACAAAGATTTTATGCAATTCTATTGGTGGATTTTTCCCTCGTTCAGCGCTCCGCCACCTCGCTCTGTTCTTGTGGACAGGCAGCCAACGGCTTAGGTTGTTGTTCAAACAAAATAGGTGACGACCCGTGGAAAAAACTATCTTATTACCAAAAAGTTAACCGCGCGTTGAACATGTCGGTTTAAAATGACATCTCCATACTAAATGTCAATATAAACTAGTGTTCAATGTGAGTTTTAACTTTTTGTAAGAAGGCCTTGTGTTTTGTTTCACAGCTTCGCTACCTTTCGCCGCTTATTTTCCTTTCATGTCACTTGTGGAAAAGCAGACTTAGGCCTATTTTCCACCAAATTGGAGACGAGTCGAAAGAGAATAGACGTCTTATAAGAAACCAATAGAATTTGTTTGGGAAAAATAGCCTGCAGACTATGATGCTGGTCTCCGCACGTCTGGCCTCGTCTCCGCTTTGGTGGACAACGGCCCTTACACTACTAGAGTTAGATATTTATTGACATGACATAAGGTTTATTTTCTGTCAAATTTAATTTCTATCTCGTGTAGGGCAATTTGTGGATAGACAGAACATTAATTTTGGCCGTTAGACTGTACACTTGATATAAATAAATACATTATCATTGACATTTAACACAGCGACATCTATTCCCAAACTAATAAGCTTGTAGTACGGACATTTAAACACTTTTTTGTAAATACATGTATACATACTATTATTATGTACATTGAAGTTTCTCAGACAGAACAAACATGCACACAATTTGACAATTGAAATCGAATCTGGACCTCTGGCATAGTATTCTGGTAGGCTAATCACTATGCCAGGAGGCCATAAATCTTGCAAAATAGAACAAATATTGTAACCAACATTATTGAAATAATTCAGCAGTGGGTTAAATTTAAGAAAACTATTGTGATTATTTTTGTAAACCATTGATATCCTGCAACTTAAACTACTATTAACTTTGAGGTATGGTTTCCATCTTCGGTGAAGTCTACTTACCAATTTAGTCCTTCGGTAACTGACAGTTCAATTTGGGAAAAACAATGATTAATCATGAAAATCGAATAGTGCAACAATACTATAAATTAATATTACAAACAAATTGAATGACATGATAATAATACTAGTGATAAATTGGTGACTTAAATGGTACACAGGTAAAATGATTGTCAGCGCGAGGAAACTCGAAAATTTTACAGTAATAAATATGTATATTTGTCTGTATGTAGGAACGATGTCAAGGACTTTAAATTACAATAGATACACTTACAACCGAGTTAACAATAGGCCTTATGCCAATTAAAGCATTTAATTTAGTAATGGTTTCGCAAAATTGGCCAATGTGCCGTCAACACAGGATCGATGTTAACAACCTCGCGACATCGGGGAGCGGCGGAATAACAAGTAGATTTATTAAATGGAGTAGATTAGGCTTTCACGGTTTTTCATTTTATTGATCTAAACGAGTCTATCCCATTAATAACGGCCACAAACATCGATTAGTTCCATGACTCACAGGGACAACACTAATATTGGGTATTGGTATAATGACTCATAAATAATGATAATAACGATAAAACCTAATTCTTCTAAATTACTGAAAACATATTTAATTTCCTTTTAGTGAAGGAAGACTGATAGTGTCCGACCGAATGTTCGGTTTCGGTTTCGTTTTCGGTTGAGTTTCGGTAAAAACACGAGTTTCGGTTTAGTTTCGTTTTCGGCGGCAAACTAGCCGAAACTACGACCGAAACCGAATGTGCATTCGGGAGTTTCCGCGCTGTTATCGGTCATGTTCGGCGCAGATGATTCGCTCGCTTGTTTGTTTGCTGTTAGATTTGTTTTGTTGTGGTGGCGAGTTTTGGAGTGATTTATTTTGAATTAGGTAAGTATTATCTCGTTTTATGTCGTTATAACATAAAAGAGCGGGTAGTAAACATTAAAAAAATCAAGTTTAATCTAACCTATATATTTTTTTTGGTTTGCAAATGCTATACGTAAACAAACATTAGTTAGGTAGTTAGTAATGACTATAGCACAGTATATATATGAGCTAAAGCAGTACGGAAACTTAGCCCTTTCGGCGAGTTATATACCTACACTTCAACTGAGTGTTAGGGTTGGCACTCTTAATCTTTATAAAATTAATAAGGTTCTTACTTACTTATTTATTCAAACGTTTATTTAGGTTTTTTATTTATCAAATACCTAATGGAATAAATTAATTTACTAAGTAGTTAACAAAAAAACAAAACGTTAATTAGGTTCTATAATGATCGAATACATAATCGAATAAATTGATTAAGTACTATTAGTACAAATTACTTTATCAAATAGAACACATAAATTATTAAAAAGCGTAATTACGTAATTTAAAAAGAACTATTACAAAATTAGATGTAAGCACTTTATTTAAAAAGTAATATTTAATCATTTTTACAATTCAGAATTATTACGAAGTTGAAAAAATGAAAGTTCTGGTTTTGAAGATGCCGAGTTCAAGCAGCCGTATACTACGCAATACACTGGTGGCATGTTTTTAAAAATACAGCGGACAGTGCATGCAATAAAATTATTATTAAAAACACAACGCGCGCGACACTCGCGACGGATGGACTGCGAGGTTCGCTTAGAGCTCATGTAAAGCGTGCGTCTGTGTGCGTGAGTCTGATTTCGAGCGTTTGTATGAAGCTTCTGTACTGTTTGATTTATCTACTGTGACTATAGTGCATTTCATGGTGATAATATTATGGATTCAGAGTTTCAAAGTTCATTTTAGCACAGATAATATAATACTATTTTAGTATTAATCACCAAGTGGCAAGTACAGTAGATACTAACTTACGTACTACCAATTTTGTTTTGAGAAATTATTAAGGTCAGACCATGGGACGGGTTATGTAGATGTCCTGAATATTGCGAGTAATTTAAAAAAATCTAGACTATAAATCCTTTTTTTTCTTTTTTAGAGTAAAAAGGCGCTTTATAAGTTCAATTTTAATGCAATTTAAAGAGAAAACAATAAAGACTGACTGATTATAATAACGTTTTCTTTATTTTTCCCTCAAAATATGAGCCTTGTAAGGAAGTTTCGGTTTCAGCCGAAATAGACACTGTTGCCGAAATTCGTTTTCGGTTTCGGTCGTAAAACTAGTTTCGATCGGATACTAAAGACTGATATTATTAGTAAATTAAAATTGTATTAGTGACTAGATTCTGACCGGGCTTTGACCTTAAACTAAGGCTGAGTTGCACCACCTAACTTTAACCGTAGCTATAATGAAAACCGGTGCTGTTTTTTGTATGGAGTTTGACAGATTTTTGACATTAATTTGTTAAAGTTCAATTAAGATGGTGCAACCCAGCCTAAGTATAAAATATGTCCTACTTGAATAATAATGTTCTTTTTAAATAGGTATGTGTATGTAGTGAAATATTTTTCCAACAGGACATGACGTCATGTAAAAAGTTACAATCAGTACTCTCTCGTTTTATTTTATGTATGATCAAATGTTTACGTTTAATATTAAACCAGTCAATAGTGTCAAACCAGAATACCCACGTATCAACGTATGTCTATGACGCGTGTGACTTTATCACGCATATTCATAATAGGGAAATTGGTGACGCATATTAACACACTCAGTGATAGTCAGTTATTCATTCTTGTTTTTCTATAAGTTTATCATGATTTGCATTGCGATATAAATTCTATCGTGCAATCAAAACTGATTCAGGTTCACCTTATGATATAAACATTATTAGGTTTATTTCTGCTAGAACGGTTCAATTCATAATCGAGTTTTTACTTTTTTACGCTTCGATTGTTACGAATAACTCACAGACGCGAAAAATATTGTATCAACTTAGCTATAGACGTCAGAAAACTTGTAAGTAGGTATATCGATTGTTTATGCTTTGAGTAAATTGGATTCGATCAATATACGCTAGCAATGACGATAAAAGTGGAAGATTATTAATTGTTTACTCTTAACTGGCAATTAAGGGCAAGCAAGAAAGACGTAAACGCTGTATAGGCTAGTTATTACAAACACGCTCTTGCTCTGAAACTAGAGTAACTACAGATTTATAGGAATACAAGACTGACCGGGTTATTTTTGTAGCTTTATCAGGGTCACGCCATACTATTTAGACAGACAACGCAACGAACATTCCATACAATATTGGTTTATAGTAAACGCTGTATGTTTACCATTGCGATACTTTTCTATTTACAATTTGTCATGGTTGTGTTTATTTTAAAGGCGAGTTTTCTGCAATGATTTTCCTTCCTATGTGTCAAACGATTCGAAAATTTTTAATACGATTAAAAACGCACGCGTTTAATAATGAGACATGCATGATTGAAGGTTTTGAATCATACATACGTCACCTTTAACCCAATATTTTATTTAACACAGCTCCACAAGGTTACGAATCATTATTTAATTTTCTTTATAGCACAGTGTTGCATAAAAATATACTGTACTAGTAAAAAATAACACCAGCAAATGACGTAAATGCATGTTAGATATCACATAGCATGCATGTCGTATTAATAAATGTGGCCGATTTAAAACTAACTTCGCTGCGGTTTTACGCCGTTATTCAATTTCTTTGATGTATTTTCAGTTTAGCTGTACATTATAAACGATTTTTCCCAGTAAAATAACATTCGAGCATGTTGAAAATAATTATTAATTGTACTATTAATTAGTTGAAAAGTTAATGCTGTTTCGTTATCCCGTTTATGTCGTCATTACACAGGAAAGAAGGATCATTTTTGGAATATAATGTAGGCCTATACCGAACATATGAGAATAAATTAACACGACAGGTTTATCGTGGACTATTTGATGAAGCGTCGCAAGTGCTTGTAAATACCATTGGCACGCTTTAACTTACATAAAAACACTCTTAAAACAATGCTCAATTCATCGATTGTCATCGTTCCAAGAGCAAAAACGACGATTCGAAACACTATGACAAAGGGGGATTCCCTGAGCTATGCGCTAAAATATGGTGGCCATCGAAGAAGAACGAATCGGGGACTTCCAACCAATGACAAACTAAAAAAACTTCAATTTGCAATTAATTAAATAGAAAAGCGCCCAAAAACTGATGTATTCAAAATATGATCTAGCTAGATAGATAGAGCTAGACTCTTTAGGCTAGGCACCTACGCGGAAATTCCGAATCCTGCAATTCAGAACATGTTCCTTGAAGGCAGGTCAGAAAATTGGATTGCTTCATTTTCTATTGAAAATGCCAACCTTCAGTTTAAAACATGGAACATTTGTGGCAATTGATTGTCTGACTTTGAATCTTACGATATTCGATTACAGTTCACCACTACCACTGTTGTGGTTAGATGCAAGGATTGTTCTATTTCCACTTGTCTAAGAATTCTAGGTGAAGTATAAACAGTTTTGTTTGTAAGGAGTATGTTATATTGAAGCTATAAACGAAAAATATTATCTGTCTATACTAAAGCGAATTTTTCTATCTGCTAACGATAGATGCGTTTTTTTCGCAGCCTGCTTCACTCGTGTGTAAGACTTGGGAATATAAACTCAGCAAAATGGATGACTGAGTCATTTAATTAGTACAGAAATGGCGTACGATTTACACACGGTACGTATCTAAGCTATTACATAAAACAACGTAAAACGCGATTAGTTTCATGACGTTTACGACATGCGCGTAAGGCACGCGAGTAGTGGTGGGTTTGTAGCGTAGCATTGATACCAGTTTGGCTGAATGATTTCAGACATGTTGTAATAGTTGGACGGTTTCCGCGAACGATAAATTACGTGTGAATCAGAGCAAGTATTGACCACATAACACATACTAAAATAAAAATGTATTAATCTTAGGAATATTATCTGTTCTTTTTCTCTTTCTCTCTCTATAAATAAGGAGCTGGCCTAATTGATTAAATGATCAAGATTGGACTGACACCCGCGGCTACCATTGTCGCCAATTAAGCTGACATTATTCTGGAATCCGATTAAGTAACTGTGGTGTCGTTTTAATTATCTTCATAAGAGCAGAATGACAACAATATCAACGTCGTTTTAGATCTACAGCCCCTCTAGACATGTGGCAAAACGGGACAGTTGTAATGTCGAAAGATGGTCGAAAGGCCTTTTTTGTATGGAGTTACTACTAATTCGATTTTCGATTCGATCAAAAAGTGCCACTTGTCTAGACTTACAGCTCTTGTATACAGGTTCAACATGATTTAAAATGTTTTCTTGACGGACGTCTGTTTCTAAAATTGATGACTATAAGGCTAATTGTAAGCCATTTGCACGCAACAGCTTCCAGCGAATGGCGACCTTAACCTGGTCATCGTGTCAGCTAGTCATAGGCCGACTTGCCCCGTCATCATCCTAATTGTCGTTCCTGCCGACTCAGTGTGATTTTGGATCGACACGCGATAAGTAAAAAATCATGTTAAAATATATTTTATGTAGCAGTAAAAAAATATGGCCCCGTCGACGATATAAACCACCCACACGCGTTGCGGAACCTGATGACTAGCCAATTATTACTACTATGTACTTAGGGTGGTACTATGACATAAGACAAAAGGCATTTAAACGTTATGTAGGTACGAAAAACTATTTACAATTTTAGCAAATTTTCTTTAAACCTAGGCCTATAAACTACTTAAAAAATGACTACATGAGTAGTGAGATGAGCTAAAAGTAAAAACCTATGGAAACCTTGACATCTTAATTAAAATGTAATAACATAACCACTAGAATCGTCCGCAAAGACTATAATGGCGCAGTTACACTACACTATAGATCGAACACAAGCGCGAACACGCGCACGGAAGTATGGGAGACGCATGGCAAAAAAGAAATGAACTGCGCGTTTACACTATCTGATTCGCTCAATTTCGCGCATAGTGTAACTGCGCTACAATAATACCTAGTAGGAAACCAAAGTATTATAAAATATACATATTTACAGCTTAGTTTGAGAGATACTCACTTCTTCGGGCACGACGTCTCTCAACTTGACGTCTTGGAGGCGGCTCACTGATGCGGTGCGGTGGTAGTCAACTAGCTCGTTTAGGGAGTTGAACTTCACCACCCAGAGGAAGAATTTGCTTGAGGCATCCCTAAGCACTTTGAAGTGCTGGACGCCGTCTGGGCATCTGGAAATTGAAGGAACGTATCTGAACACGGGGGTTCTTACAGTATGCATTCTCATTCTCAATGGTCATCATTAGAAGAGACATCTTGCAGAGTAACGAAATTATTCTGATTGGAATAGGGAATAAAAAAATAGAAAATTCATAGTATCTATGTGAAGTAGTAATTCTTACAATTATCTACCCAAAAAAATGTTACTAAAATATTATGGTTTATGCGATATGCTATGCCTATGGAAATTCGGTATGCCCATTGTCCTCCTGTCCCCCACTGCACTGGCGGATAACGGGGATACACGAAAAGACTACCCTGTAGGCTGATTTCAAAATATAAATGTTGGGTATTGTCAGTAGTGTGCTAGCATTTCAGATAAATCAATCAATAGATTATCTAATTAACGCTGTCAGATCCGCAAGGGAATTTGAGGACAGGCAGGATTGATCGTAGGAAACTGTGTCGGTTTGCTGAATCATCTAGTCTAGATGAAAAAAAATCTACCACAAAGGTCGAAACTCTAGCTGGGCCTTGTAGTGGCGACTTGGCCGATCAATTTTCTCGTAGTGGGAATTCTAATGTCGTTTTCCTATTTTCATTATGTATTTGTCCAGAGTCGAGATGCTGACTTAAACGACTGTCAAAGATAGCAGAAAATATGAAAAAGCGTTAGAAAGAAGCCCCGTAGAAAATGGCGTTAGTCGCCTTTGCGGTTTTCTTGCGGTAAAAATAGAATAGGTAACATTATTTTACTGGGGCCTCATGTATGAATCATAATCTATTGTTGCTAACAACAAACTAATTACCTAATAGCTAACTATTAGAGAAATGATCTAATAAAAACATCGTAATATTGTAACTTATGATGTTACGTTCAATATTTTTGTTTTTGTGTATAAAATGTGGAACGCTGAATCTACTTGCTTCGTACCTATATTAATTAAAAATATCAATATTTAACGAAGTATTGATGTAATTTTAAAAGCATAATGATATTTCAGAACGATCGCATTCCGAACAAAAATAAGCGCTTGCCTTAAAAGTCAAGTAGGTTGCTTGGTAACTGACCTCTGACCCAAAGAACCGAGATTTAGTTACCTCCTATAATTTTCGAGATGTTTAGTCCAAGGTATTTATGAATAACCTAAATCGACAGTATCAAAATACGGGGACTGTGCTAGATCTCGATTCCTTTACTTGAGAGTATGTAATATGAAACAAACATTATCTAAGTATTCCCGAAGATATGAGTCATCATCACCATCATCATCTCAGCCATAGGACGTCCACTGCTGAACATAGGTCTCCCCCAATGCTTTCCATGTTGCCCGGTTGGTAGATGGAAGATATGAGTGTACTACAAGAATTATTTGATGTTTCCATACTGTAAGACTGTAGGTAGACGATATTCATTATAGCCGGAGTACGTTTTGTATAAATTGGTTAACATTCAATTGACTGAGAGGGTCGCGACTCGCGGTCGTGTTTGTATTGCACTTACGTAGATCACGCGATATCAGGTCAGACGACCATCGACTATATTTGGGTGACGTCAAACGACAGCGGATCGTCAACAAACCGGACCAAATACCGAATTGATGAGTCATCCACCCTTTTCCCTTACTACATCTTAAATATTCGGGTGGAAACCCCGTGCGGACAATTACAGTAATAATTAATTGGTAATTACCAGCTGTACAATGATTAATACAGTATCCAAAACAAACCAGGAAATAGAGTTTACGCTACTAGACGTAGTGGCTAGATTTTCTTTCAACAATTTAATGTTTATTATAATCGAATTCTTAGTTCATGGAAAGAGTTTGCAATACAAAAGAATTCCCACAGTGGATACGCATTAAATTAAAAGTGCTACCTTATCTTGTAGGTTAATTACTTAATTGTGTGTTATGTGTACTAGGAGAAATATCGACTTTATCACAGTTGTATGTATGAACGAGTAACTCTACAAGAAATATGTCAACTACAATATTTTACTGTAGAATATGAAATGGAAGGCTAGTAAAAAGTTGTAATTATTTCAGACTTCTACTGCAACCGAGAATAGCTTTCGTTTAGAAAAACGGCGAGCGAAAAATATCCATCTTGTTGAAAAATAACAGATGTTCACATAGTAAAAGTTTCGAGTGAGATTCCCGCGGTGGAAGCAGAATCGCCTTATTGTCTGGCTCTTTGTTATGGAGCTGCCAGAATAGCGAATCGTACGATAAACCGTGTCGTAATCGTTACGTTTGTGTTCTATAAGAATAGACGTGAACCGAAAGATTCTCATACGCAAACGATAAGTCTGGGCATTTGGCGGTCTTACTTTTACAAAAAACGCGGAATTATAAGTGACTGGGAAACTAGTTTCGCTTTCGCTTGCTGTTAACGAGATGAATTAGTTATTTCATTGATCATAATTATGGTTCTCTAATTAGAAAATATTTTTTTTTATATTCTAATAAGAAAAATACTCAAACTTACCTACATAGAGAAATAATGCTAACTACTACACAAGACACGATAATGAATGCATCGAGTCATTTTCAAAGTGCAATAACTTCCGAGATTTTATACCGCGTTCGGAATGACTTTCCAATAGCTGGCGGGTCAGTTCAGTCTGTTATCAGTCCATATTGAAGTAACGTGAGGAATGAGGCCCAAGTCCTAACAAATAATTATAAATAGACTAAAAGTCTTAAACTGGTTCTAGTACAATCAGCCTGTCGCTGATTCATACACTTGGTTAAGGAACTGGTTTGACCTCGTATGAAAAATGAGTAAAAAACCTTTTTGACTGCCAATAAGATGGTACAAATTGGTGCTTATTTATTACACATTCCAAATTATTAGACGGTATGTCATGACTGTAACATTGGCTAACGATCTGTGAAAAAAATTTGGGTGAAACGCAAATGTTCGTAATTCATTCACAAATAAGTGGGACGAGGAACGCCCTGATTTCAAGATCACACAGCTTTTTAACAAACTCGTTTGTCTATGCATATTTTCATACATATAGTTTTAAACGAAATTCCGCTCAATGCAATGAAATATTAAGCCTCAAATAACAGTATCTCACTTAAAATATCACAGAGAAATAAATATTTGATAGGAAGCACTTTTATGTGCTGGAAACATAATTTGTTTTTAAAAGAGGATGGTAAAAGATTTTCAAAAGATACGAGTAGGTAAATGGCGGTAGAAAAAATTTCATTGTCAATTCTTCATTATTAAATTAAAGCTTTATTTAAACCAACTTCTATTCTATCGTAATACAGTGACTAATACCTAATACAGCACTGAGACATTCCCCGCAAATAAAAGAAATGTTGGACGCTGCGTGTGAGTCAGATGGCGAGGCGCGAAGCTTATTTTTTTATTAACAACCAATTTAACTTCCAATAGAATTGTTTACTGTCTTTCGCTTGCATGGGTATTTGTTAGAGATTGCCTCTCCGCGGTAATGAGGAAACAAAGGGGACAAAATGAGTGTTTGTGCATTGTGTGTAAATGAGAACCACGAAATAATTGCGGCAGTAAAAAATTGGATAGTGTCCGCACGAATACGATTATAAAATACTTAAATGCATGCAGTTAGATTAAAATAAATAAATCCTAGTAGGTATTAGCAATTTCCCGCATTTTTAATTTTATGATAACTATCTTGCGTAATTAACTTTGAATTTCGTGTTATAATCTGACTTGTAGGTGGTAACTAAATATTCCAAATGACTAAACTAAATAATTAACATTCAATTGTTAACTTTCATTTACGTCAAAAAATACTTAGCGCCCAACTGACACTGAACGACAAAGTTGTCGTATACTTCGATCTATGTGACGGAACCACCCAAAGGCACGTTTTTATGTTAATGTAAGTAACTCCCGTGGATGCCGCATACGTAATCTAAGGAACGACTTTCCAAGTCTCTCCTGATATTCCCGAACTCGCTGTTATGCCTGAGATTAAATGACATCTAACATTCAGAAGAGACGTCTGGACTAGTGATAACTCAACATTAACTATTTCTTCTTCTGAGTTTAATTCGACTGAAATTGAAGTTAATAGGTCTTCCTAAATGGTTGCATAATTTAGCACTATCATACCTACATAATAAACCATGCCTCATGGCTAAAACGTGATCTCAGTGAAAACAATATAGAAGACTATTTTTCAAATTGAACTCAGAAATTTACTAATGTGGCAGGGTTGGCAGTAAGATTTTTTGGACTTTCGGTAAGTTTTACAGGGTGTGTTTTAATTACTTTTATATGCTACTTATCCTGAAGTTATACAATATGGGCAGAAAGGAAGTTCCAGGTGAAAATGGTAACATAATACTACCTAAAAGTTTTAGGACATGGAATCCTCTGTACTATTAGCAACTGACTATAATCATGACTACATCTTTATAGCAGAATTACCAGCAACTTGTACATTTACAACTTATCTTGTGGCAGCGATTCCACTAAGGAGCCAGAACATTTTCAGAGGTAGAGTATTTAGTCAAATATTACAGTCTGAAAAAGTTCTGTCTATGTTACCAAAAGGTGTGTGAAGATCTTATTTAGATTTTTTTTTTACACTGAATACTTAAATGCAAGTGGGTAAGCAAAAAAAAAAGAAAACCAAAATAACACAGAAAACTGAATTGCTTGGAACTTTTGGCCCTCATTATCAACAACAAATAAAAACTTATTAAGAGCAAAGTGGAGAATTATTCTTTCAAAGAAAGTTAATAGATCAATAACAAAGTAACCTAAAAATAAGGCCTTTGCTTGGTGAAAGACCATAACACTCACTAAATGCAATTAAAAATTCAATAGATGACAGTAAAACTAAATTACACCACAACTTTGAATACCACAATAAAGACTAGAGTAGTTGGCAGAGTCAATAGGAATACTTTGCAGGCAAGTATTCACCACCCTATACGCTAAGTGAGACTTGGCATCAACTGTGATTGCGGTCAAATAGCATGCTTATTCTGTATAAAAAGTAAAGGACAAAATAATCAAATCTGTGGCAAAACCAATTGAGCAGTAAAGAGAGGTAGTACAACAATAGTTAGGATTACAAACATGAAAAATAAACAGCGAAACAAGTACTTACTTCACAGACAGTGAGAAGTCTCCAGGGCTTGATTCACTGATTCTAATCAAAAAACCACCTTCTGGTTTATTAGCTAAGAGTTTTTCTGCGTCTGCTCTTGTGATTCTTCCATAATACCAACTGTGAAAATAATGTTACAATTAGCTATGTACTAATAAGATTCTATACCACTAAGAATTTATATTCCTGGCTATTAGTCTTTAGTCAAGAGTAGTTTCTCTCATTACTGTTACTAAGCTTCAGTTAATAATTGAATGGAAAATTAAGTCTACTCAAAATTTGATAAAAAACTTTTGATCTGAACTTGTAGGTACATAACCAAAATTTATTCTTCAAACTATCATTTCGAGTTTTTCACATACAAATTGTACAAGATACCTGAAGCCAACTCCGATCAAGTTATAAAATGTAGCACTTACTTGTGGCTTTTCATTTGAATATAGTTGCTAGGAATGAGTCCTTCTTTGCCGTCTAATTCAGCTCTGTACCAATTCATATCGTCCTCCATGTTAAGTATCTGCAATACCAAAAATTCTAGAAAGATCCGATTTACGAGCATTTTACACGTTTGTATCATATTTATAACGAAAAACTTACTTTTAGAACCTGATTCTTCCTAAAACTGAGTTCATCATCAGCAGTTGCTGTGAAATCGTGTTTTGCTATAGCCTCCATGATCAAATTAGGCACTTCACTGTAATGTCACCGATTACCAAAATAACTCACAAAGTATGCAACCTATCGATATCACTTATAATTATGGCATTAAAATAATCATAATGCATATATTGTCTTACAGAATATTATTAAAATTATTGTTTCAAACGCAAATTCAGAAATATTTCGTTCAAATTCAGGCCACACATCAGTCACATCACCACTTCACAGAAATACTACTAAAAAAAAAACTTCAGTGCTGCCATTTTAGAAATAAATTCCTACCATTTATGAGAAGCTTACCGTATTTTTTCTTCTGAGTCGTATCGGGATCGTACAGTAGATAATATCTCTTTTAATAATTTTGTAAAAATCACTTGATTTTGATTAATTTCGAAAGATATCAATTTTAAAGCGACAAGACCGCATACATTATGCCGTATCTTTTTAATTTTAGTGTCTTGACGATACGATTATTACGATTATACATGAATATTGTTTAAGGCGATATTCAAAATGAATTACTCAATGCCGTAAACTAAAATTAAAAATTAAATTTATAGGTTGACTTGAAGTGTCAAGTTTGACAGTTCTTTCAGTCCATTTCGCTCCCAGTGGCATTACACGCGTAAGTTTCAATATTTAAAAAATCGTGAAATTTAACAATAATCTCTCAATAAATTTTTGGTTTTCAAAGTAAAATGTGTAATACCCAAGACACGGTGGCGTAAAAAGTGTATATTTGTGATTTCAGTGATTCTGAGACTTGTGTTTCACCGGCTGGTTTGTTGTTTCAGGTTTAGTCGTAACTCAAATAAACGCAACGATGTCGGGAGGTTTAGACATATTGGCCCTCAATGAGGAGGATGTCACCAAGATGTTGGCTGCCACGACCCACCTTGGGTCTGAAAATGTCAACTTCCAGGTACGTGTTCATATGAAAACATAACCTCAAAAATCGAAAACTTTACCTGTTTGCTAAGTTTACTTTAACCTAAATAAAAACATGATGAGACAAGAATCCGTTCCATTTTCGTCTGATAATAATGACGATCGCATTCTCCCAACTGATACAATTCCAAAATCTCGGATCATGCTCCTGTTTATTACGTTTTCTAACCACTGCATTTACTCTAGATGGAGACCTACGTGTACAAGCGCCGCGCAGACGGCACCCACGTGATCAACCTCCGCCGTACGTGGGAGAAGCTGGTGCTTGCTGCCCGCGCCGTGGTCGCTATTGAGAACCCAGCTGACGTGTTCGTCATTTCGTCTCGTCCATTCGGACAGCGTGCCGTCCTCAAATTCGCGGCTCACACCGGCGCCACACCTATTGCTGGACGCTTCACCCCTGGTGCTTTCACTAACCAGGTAAATAAAGATTTAATTCATACTTATAGCTAAAGTGATGTAAACATCATGTAAAATTCGCTCACAATGTTGTTTAGTTCCTAGTAACTGCACAGGCTAGAAATAGTTATTGAGAGGGAGGTTTATTTTGGTTCGTCAGATTATACAGATAGAATACAGGAGATGAATTAGTAGCTGTACTTAGTACTTAGAACCTAATTGCCAATAGTCAAAGTGAAAGTTATTTAGTGTTTTGTAAATTGTGAGTAAAGAGTAAACTCGACAAAATTTATTTAAATGATGACAAACATAACTAAGATTCCTGATCTGTTGGACTTTTTCATCATAAAGGGCTTTTCCGACAACTATCTAGACATTGAAAGCTGCTGGGACACAACCTCTGATCACTCGCCTATAATATGCACCCTGAGCAGAACAATAATATACAGAGAAACACAGACAAGACTTTATAACCACAGAACCGATTGGGTGCTATTTGCCGATTATTTGGAGGCGGAAACAGAATTGAAAATAAAATTAAAAACTGAAGCTGACATAGATGATGCAACATTCTATATAACCAACCTAATACAGGAAGTTGCATGGCGATGTACACCACAATTGAAAACCATAAGTAAAACTACTAACATACCTCTGCAAATACGAGAAAAACTTGTGGAGAAAAGAAGACTTAGAAGAGTCTGGCAGCTGAGCAGACATTCGTATGATAGAAGACTCTATGAAAAAGCAGCTAAAGAACTGAGGGAAATGATAACAGAGAATGAGAACTATACATTTGAACAGAAACTGTCATCTTTATCTGCTAAAAGGTGTGATGATTACTCTTTATGGAAATTCACAAAGCAGTTCAAGAGACCACAACAATCAGTACCACCATTGAGAGCTCAGTCGGGAGCTTGGGCCAAAACTCCTAAAGAGAAAGCCGAGATCTTTGCTCAACATTTAAGTCAAGTGNTACCATGCAATACAGATGTAGTAACAGCGACATATGCAGATGACACCGCATGTCTTGCAAGTCATAAAGATCCGGCTTTGGCATCAGAAAAACTACAAAATCACCTGTATGAAATTGACGAATGGCTGGAAAAGTGGAGAATAAAGCCAAATGTTACTAAATCTCTACAAATAACGTTCACACTCCGCAAAGGAGACTGCCCAGCTGTAACGTTACGGGGGCAACAACTGCCTACAGAAAATTGTGTAAGATACCTGGGACTCCATCTAGACCGGAGGTTAACCTGGGCAACCCATATAAAAACAAAGAGAAAAGAAGCAGATTTACAATTTAAGAAGTTCTACTGGCTGATTGGGAGACAATCATCCCTCAGTTTAAACAACAAAATGCTGGTCTATAAATGCATAATAAAGCCTATATGGACTTATGGGATTCAACTCTGGGGATCTGCCAGTAATTCCAACCTTGAAATCCTCCAAAGGTTTCAGAATAAAACACTGAGGGCAATCTCAAATTCACCATGGTTCGCTAGAAATGTAGAGATACACGAGTACTTGGAGATGCCGACAGTCAGGGAGGAGGTGAGCAAATACTGTACCAAATATAAGGAAAGGCTAAAACATCACACAAACCAACTTGCTAGAGAAATTGTGGAACAAACCCACAAGACCACCACAAGACTGAAAAGATGGCAAATATTACAGTTGGACCAAAGATGCTAGTGGCTTGGACTGAATATTGGAAGGCTGGACTAGATTGCTACGTGAATTAGTAAAAACCGAGGGAGAGAATTTACTGGAATACCCCTCCTCATGAACACAAACAAAAAAGCAAGACAAAACATCTGATTATGACCTAAGTCGATTGCAGATAAAAAAAGGGGAAAAAAAAAAAAAAAAAAAAAAAAAACATAACTAAGGAACCACTGACTGCAATTTATTGCAGCATGATTAAAGTTTTGTCTGATTAACTATTTATCAACTTACTATGTACTTTTGTTTAAAAATTGTGTTGAACACTAGTAATTTCATTCAACAGATCCAAGCTGCGTTCCGTGAGCCCCGTCTTCTGATCGTGCTGGACCCCGCCCAGGACCACCAGCCCATCACTGAGGCATCCTACGTCAACATTCCTGTGATTGCTTTCTGCAACACTGACTCGCCCCTCAGATTTGTTGACATCGCCATCCCATGCAACACCAAGGTATGTTGATATTTTTTTATTGTAATTATGTATTATTAAATTTAAAACTATATATACATAGGCCTTGACATAGCAAAAAACCTTAGACTCACTTAAAAATGCCACATGGCATTAATTAAAGTTTCATGTTTATTTCATTATTGTGCACTGAAGATTAATTTCTACATTCTGCAAATAAAAATAATTTTCATTTTCCTTTTTGTAGTCATGTCTAGTAAAATTTTCATATTGAAAATGTTTAATAAAATTTAATCTATAAAAAAATCCCATAAATATGCAGACATGCAATGCTTGCTTACTTTAATGCAAGCCAAGCTTGTCACATCATAAATTCACATTTTCTACTGGGCACTTCTCACAGATCTGTCACCCAGTTTTTTTTGTCACAAAATTGGTCTCTGGCACGTCACTAAATTATTCTAAAATATTTCCAGTCGTCCCACTCCATCGGTCTGATGTGGTGGCTGCTGGCCCGCGAGGTTCTGCGCCTGCGCGGAGTCCTGGCGCGCGACCAGCGCTGGGACGTGGTCGTGGACCTGTTCTTCTACCGCGACCCTGAGGAGAGCGAGAAGGAGGAACAGCAGGCTAAGGAACAGGTTTGTGCTGGTTTTATAGTCTTTGTAAGGCGGGCTGTCTTATACCCAGCGATGTATTCGCTGATGTGATGTTATATACCTTGCTATATCTTGAATGTTGTAAATGATAGTTCATTTCAAATTAAAACTTGTAAAAGAAACAAATCAAGAATATGATTGAATATTACGTTTTCTTTCACGCTTCCAAAGTTGCAACAAGTAAGTAACACATTATTTGAAGTTGATGCTAAAGTAGTTGTAATATTCTGCAAACCATACTATACCATAGTGCTGATGATTTCCATCTTCTGACAATTTGGTATTTATTCTACGGTTGAGTTGCATCCCTAATCAGCTGGAATGGGTACTATTTTTATTCGCACCATGCCAAGTTCCCATGATTTTGAATTTTTGAAATTGGCAGCTGTAATGCATACATGTCTTACGCCCGATTCCCATATTCAATCCTTGTCCAAATCCGGATTACAACTGTCAAATTGAATTCAGTTTTAGATTATATTTCCAAAATTTTCGATGCATTTACACTTTAATATTGTTTAAATAGTCTTATACACAATATAAAAATGTAAAAACATCAAAAACCGCAGTTATTTTGGCCAAAAACATATTAAAATTTGCCAGTTGACAATCCAAATCCGTATAATTTGGATTAGGATTGAATATAGAAATCCAGCATTAGTGCCAACACCTAGCTAGGGATATGCTAGGCAAAATTTTGTTGTTTAATTTCTCACTAGGGTGAAGTTTTCTCACAGTAGTGCACAGGTTTAGGTAGACTAAAAAGTATTGCTATTCTCTAACTCAAAATCGCCTATCCAGCAGCAGCAAAAATTATGCTCTCATCCCTAACTAAGTACAACTTTGCTCACAATGTCTTTAACTTCCAGGCCGTCGTGGCTGCCAAGCCCGAGGTGCCCGCGCCGGTGCACGAAGACTGGAACGAGACGGTGGAGCAGGTGACCTCGTGGGCTGAGGAAGGCGCGCCCGCCGCCGCCGCCGCCGCGCCTGCCTTCGGCGCGCAGCCCGCTCAAGAAGACTGGGCTACTCAGGTATGTTATAACTTTTGGGTGGGCTTCTTGGCGGGACTAAGCGTCATGTTAGCGGTTGTTTTATTTCCTAAAATTCGTGTTTGGGCGACTATTAATGTGTAACAATGGTGGATTATTAACCATTAAGTGTTCGTGAACGTGCATGAGTGTGGGCAAATGAAACAAAACAGTGCATCGTGATTCTTCGGGTTCTCTCAAGTAGTCCATATGAGGTCTCAGTAAAGCACTACAACATTACTGCGACTCAAAAGGTGGGAAGGGGTATCATCCTTCATTAAATCATTACTTGGTCTCATTTTGTAACTCGTCTCACTTTAAACTTGAAAATGGCACAAATCAAGTATACCTCGATGTGTATTGCCAACATCATCAAAAAAGAAGAAGAACTTTTGGGATATACATCCTGCTAGTTAGTCATTTATGACTCGACTTCAACAAGGTGGACAAAGGTAGCAGGAAGGTGCTGGATGCAAGCCACTACCAGCTGGTTAATCTGGGAATCATAGGAGAGGCCTATGTTCAGCAGTGGACGTCCTGTGGCTGAAATAATGATGATAATTCTACTAAACTCAAATGTAAGAAAGAATGCAGGATCTAGGATTAGCCCACAACTTAGCATTCAGCTTTTTTCAATTTAAAATCCAAATGATTTATCATTGAATGAATAACTTTATTAGCAATATTCTGTATATCATTGAATGTCTAATAATTTGGATCAATGTAGGTACATAGACAGTACAGAATAACATTCGATAACATTTTTTTTTACAAAATGGCACATTATTACGTCTGATGAAAATGATGCCACAGTGGTTAGTTTGGACAGTAAATACAAGACTAATATAAGAACCCCTTCTGAGACATTGATGTGGTGTCAACTAGGGTCCATATAGTCGTCTATCGGTCTCCAAACATTTTGTATTTTATCTAATTACCAGTTCAATTTCAAATTAAATGTTTCGAAATGCTAAAATGTTTATTATCTTCAGGTACAAGACGAGTGGGGAACCGCGGCCGCGCCCGCGCCCGCCGCCGCTCCCGCTGCGCCCACGCCATCGTGGGGAGGCTCCGCCCAAGACTGGACCCAGTCGTAAACATCGCGTTTACAGTTAATATACTTTAAAACCTATTACCGTGTTTCTTTTGAACACCCTGTGGCCTAATTCACGTATTTTGACAGTCTACAGCGAAATCTTCGCTGACGTTCAGGAAGTAGTCCCATTGAAAAACAGTTCTAAAGCCGTTTTCACAAGGGTCATTTTGATAGAACGATCGATCGAACGATTTGTTACGTGAATAATTACTGTACCAACCAGAACATCGCAGATCATTTCGCACTAATACATAAAGCTCTTTTTACTGGGGACACAATAATTATGTTGCATACTTTTCAAAATGGGACTAAAGTGCTTTTTGGTTTCGTAAGAATTAGAACATGCGTAGATCAAAACGAATGATAAAAAAATTTTTTTGGAACTAGTGCCTAGTGTGACAAAGTCGTGGAGCGATTCATTTGTCAAGTACCTACAAGTGTTAAGAGTAGGCGCACACCGTTGATTTTTCGTCGGCCGATAGTTTAGTCGGGCAGTTGATCAGTATGGGCAATGGGCATGTATGGGAGTGCGCACACTACGCCGATTCGATTTGGCCGATTCTTCATACAAATTAAATCGGGCACAACTATCGGCCAACTAAAAATCAACGGTGTGCGCCTACTCTTAGTGTGTATAAATTATACTCCTGGTTATCATCAGGTTCGTTTGTGGACTATGAGGCGACGAGATTCATTTGCAAGTTTACGATAATTTTTCTCAATCGGGGAGATAAGCATTGATTTTATTGTTTGATTGAAATTCGATTCAATCTTATCTCTAATAAACGGTGTGGTCCGCGCAAGTAACAATAATGATAGGGGGCGACGAAAACTGCATTCGTAATTATTTATTGCTGCTGATTTTACTAAAGGAGCACTTAGTTAAAAAATACAGACATTATTTTCTGTACAAATGGATTCTGTAAACACAAGTATAAGTCGGGTTCCCTTGATTAGACAGCACGCGGAAAATCAGACGCTTGAGTGGTTTGCCCCAGTTGCATCGGTAATACTGTTTAGCCGGACCCCTGTTTTGATATTCGCCATCCACTGCATTCACTAGCGTTCCATTTTCTAGGACACCCTGGAAGTTGACAAAATATTCTGTGTAACTTATCGTACAGTACAAAAGGACATACTAATAATAGGTTTTACAATCTTGTCTAAAATTAGCCTAAATGATGAGAATACATAGGTATTATTAATGCTATTTATAGATAACTACCGATAGTATAAATCGCTTGGGCGCACTTCTCGCAGTATCGGGTCGAATGTGTTCCACACTCATGTAGTTTACTTGTAGCGCTTGTGGTAACTCCATTACGATCTCTCCGTATGATCCACTGAAAATATTTTTGTAGACATGAGTGGAAAGTCGAAAGGTAAAAAGGTGAGCGTGTAAAATAATTATGGGTCGAAGATATTTTCGCTTAGACATAAGCATTATGCCGTGCCGTTATCGTCATAAGTGCAATATCTAAGCATTAAAATTGTTCAGCTACAATTTGCCAAGCAGATGGCGTGCAATATACATATAAATGGCTTAGCTTGGGATGGGAGCTAAGCGCACTTTAATTTTGGATGGAAAATGCATTGTCTACAGGCAGACTACGTGATCCACTATAGAGACAAGACTGAAAAAGGCAGTCCACGAATATCTACCTAAAAGGCCAACAATCCGAAGGTGTAGGATTCCTACGGGTTAACACTAGGTCCGGCGGCGGAGCGGCCTTCCATAGTGGCACCACCCCCCATAGAGCGACCTGGCTTCCGTACTCTTCTGTATTACTGCCTTTGCTCACTGATACGCCTTCTATGTATTTTCTATCCACTTCAGTCTTGTCTGAAATGTTGAAAAAGTACCTTTATACCGGTTGCAGACCAAGAGCTAAGCTAAGTTAGTTTCGCTTAGCTCGCATAGCTGACGCAGTTTCACATAGTCGTGTGTAGACTGAAAACTATGCCAATTCTATGGGAATCTGCGTCAGCTATGCGAGCTAAACGAAACTAACTTAGTTTAGCTCTTGGTCTGCAACCGGCATTATGTAGGTATGTTTAATAAGGCATAGTCTACCATGAAAGAAATGAGTTTACCACCTACTTAGGTATATGTAGGTACTTTCTTAAAGGTCTTATAAATATTGTGAAAATCTAGTGGTTCTTTCGGTAGCGCATTTTCTTACATAACTTTTCAATTCCTATCATTGGAAGTCCGAAAATATTTCTCATACAATTTGATACCATAATGATCATTCTTCATAAAAAATTTAAAACCTACATATTTAAAAACATAATCATTGATATTCATAATATCACTCATATATCAATCAATATCATCAATCAATCAATCATACACTTAGTTTTTACTAATATTTGTTTTCATATATTTTTCTATACTAATGATCGAAACTCATAATCATTCGAATAAATAACTATAATATTCATAAATGTGATGTATCCTAATATTTGTTTTCATAAATTTATTACTCATAAGTGTATTTATCCATATTATTGAAAATCATGATGTCTATATTCGTATTAAATCGTATTTTAACATTAAATTAATTTGAAATGGTCCAAAACAGGCAATATTTTGTGCCACAAAACTAACGTGACAGAAACGAATCGCTGCAAAACCGACTCCACGTAGTCTTGTCTGCCCTACCCCTAGAGTGTAATTTAAAAGCCGGAGGCGCGGAGGGAGGGCAGCCCTCGCCCGCTGTAACGAGCTGTAACTTGCTTCCGCAGCTTCGGCTTTTTGGATCGCCATCGGCGCCTTCGGCGCCTCGGCGACCAGCCTCAGCCGCTCCAGCTCACCCGGGCGCCTGAGCCTCGTTACGCAAGGGCGGAAGGGCTGCACATCCCGCAGCGCCGGAGACGAGGAGATACCAATGCATGCTGCATGCTCTGCATGCTTATCTACTCTATTAAATTATATATGATTTTTTTAAAGATACGAGTATGTCTGTTATAAGTAAATTATTCTGAACATCAACATTATGAGTTGAAGTATGTTCTTAGTAACAACATTATTAATTAAAACAATATGATCAATGAATGTTATGAAGAAAAAAGATCTGAAAATAAAAATTATGTATTTTAAATGGTTCTTGGTAGTAACAGTATTGATAAAAAAATAATGATTACTAACTGTTATGAGCTCCGATGGTAGTAATAAAAATGTATGAATAAAAAAAGTATGAAAAATAAAATTATGAAGAGAGATTATTATGAACACAAATCGGTAGTAAGACAAAGAATAGGATTTAGAATTTTATGTGAGCCAATATAGAACCGCTTCTTTCACTAAGTAGGTAATTCAATTCAGAAATGAAGAGCGAAATCTAAATTTAGATAAGTAGGTAAAGGGAAAGATGATATTACCGTAGTACTTAACCGACTTCGAACATGCTATTAGGGTTTTATTACAAATTCTTGTAATACGAAGTTTATGAGAAAATCAGCAGAAATACTGAAACCATACCTGTTCTTGTAATTTGTGTGCTAATTAACAAACTTCGGCTGACTCTTAGCTTGTGTCTGTAATAAAAAATAAAAAATATAATTAATTTATGCCATTTTCTCGTTTCACGTAAGAAAGAACCAAGTACATACCTAGGTACAAAAAGTCAATGCAAAGTTATAAAAATTCTCTAAGCAAGTAAGTAAGTAGGTACTCTGTCTAATTAAAAAAAAATCCTGTATTTCAGGGGCCACCTGGTGGCACCTTTAAACCCCCCTCTCCCCGCCGGCTCAAGGGCTAAGGGCGGGGACTTTTACTATGTTCACCTCCTAACTAGTCTAAATAAAGTCCTGAAGTCAGAAATTGTGTTCTACAGTTTTCCATCTATAATGCTTTATTGACTGGACTATTATTTACACACGACCATATAAAATTATTAATTTGATTAGGTTGGAGATAGGTAGACAGATTCAGCCTTTTTAGCCTTCCATTATTTTATGGCTCTCTTTTAACATGTTTTGCCAAAAAACAATTGGCCACGCCATCCATTGCGTTTTGGGAGTAGGAAATTTTTCATCCTGTGTATTCTAAATCCCAACAAACACTGCAGAAGCACGCTTTGCTTAGAGACGCATAGGTTTGTATTGGCTGCCAAAACAATGGCAGGATACCAGTCCAGCCAATTTTAAGTTTGATACCTAGTTTCTTTATGTATTTTGAGATAATGTAAGTAGTTAAGGTAAACGACTGACAATAGAAGGAATGATTCTCTTAGGTTAGGTACTTGAAATAATTAATAGACCATATTCCAAAACGATGTTTACTTAAGTATCTACTTAGGAAAATATTGCAATTCAGTCGGGCTTTAATATTTTGATTATGATTTTTATGGATGAGGAGTAGGTAGGTACCGAAATCCTATAAGAGTGAAAATGCAGACTAAACTAGCCTTAAACTTAACATAAAATGTCACTCGAGAGGAAATCAATCTTACTAAAAATAAATTCACGCCAAGGTAAAAAAGATATTGGTTCATTCATATGCTTGGTTTGATTCGAGTTTTGAGCTTACGGGACAAGTTTACGCGAACTAAATGCTTTGGTAATACTTAAGTACCTACCCTTTTTGCATTCACTCACCTTAATGCTTGTTGCATTTTTGAAACCTCCTCGAGTAAAAACCTCATTCTGTTACAGCATTCTTCTGATATTTCAGTCTGCTTCGATACACCCCCTGTATAAAAATATGGAGGATCTATGTAAGTACTTATGTAATGAGTATTAGATAGTCACGTACTGAATATGTACATAATTCATTTAATGTGATTACTTCAGCATACTTACATAGAGAAACTAATTTGTCTCCTTGTATGACTTTCGTGAGGCGGTTAAGCTTCGGAATATTAGTCATCCAAATAGATCCTGAAAATAATTGGGTAGTTAGTACAAAATTAATCTTCAAAATCTCTAACAAAGCACAATATTTCATTTATTCCATCTTTTTCCAGCAAAATATAGAAACAATAATTGTTATGCCCGTTTTCACCATCAATCCCTAATTTTTAAGTGACTCCCTATGAAAACAAAAATCCTGTTAAGTAACCAAACGGGTTGGTGAAAACGGCATAAGTTACTCAAAAACGTGGAATATCCAACTAAGTAGTCATTCAGTTCATAAGATCGCTTGGAACATAAAGGGGTGATTCCATACTTTTGCTCGTAAGTATAGTAAAGGGAAATCCCAGACAAAACCATATCACGTGAAAGTAGTTTAAAAAAGAATCCGTGCACTAACCCATCAGAGCCAGGGCTATAATTAGAAACGCGAACAATATCGCAGCATTTTTCCCGTTCGTGCGCTTCGTTTTTTGTTTGCAATTACAATGCGACCTTTTCCTTTTGCTGATGACTCTTTGTGCGTCGGCGTGGAGATACTGCCAAATGTTCTCTCTCACAGGATACGAGGATCGTATTTCCCACGCGGGAACTTTCTTCGCTCTCCTTTCGCTAACTTTACCTGTGGACAGCATCCGATATCTGAGCTGTAATTCGGTTACAAGACCTCTTGATTAATGCCTCAACTTCGGCAACCTAGTTTTCGGAATGATCGGTCTACGTATAAATAAAGTATCTGGACTCCGACTGTTTGTTTATCTTTTTGTGGTAAGAAGTAACAAACTTTGTGGGTCACTTAGTTAATAGAAAACAGTGATTCAGCTAGACTGGATGCTGGGTGACTTCCTAAGTAGGATAGATTTATTTAAAAGTGCAAAATAGCCTACTTCAAAAGACTTCTTATTACTTTATTTAGTTTATGTACCTACCTAATGTTTAGTAATAAGAGAACTTGACAACGTATGCAAAATTTTTGATACAACTTAATATGTTAGATACATTAAAAAGATGTGTTTACGTGAAAACGATTTGATTGAAATTTCGACGCTCATTTTGCTGCCTTTTTGCAATTTTTTGCGACATACAGCCATGTCAGATTAGCCGCGTCCTAATGGATGAATCGATTAAGATAAAATAACCAATGTCAGCTCACTTTTTTATGAGATAAAATGATTTTCACAACAGCTATCTCAGTCGGGGATAAATATATTGTATCAGTATGAAATAGGATTATTTGTCGACAGTAACAAGTAACAAAGTGGTTGATAAAGGTCTAGCTTTTTGCGACAAAAGCGAGACCTATTTAACCGTCAGCTAAAATCGGACGAAATTGAATGCGTTAACCAGAGCGCGCACGATTGATTTTGTAATCGATTCTATCCTGATTTAGCGGGCTGTATGCTCTGTTTGCCCTTGCTAGTGTAGTGAAAAGGCTATCGATAGAAATTAAGTTTATTGAAATAGGAAATTCGTCTTTACAAGGGCCTTTACGTGCCCGACTCTACAAGGTCCTATAGAGGGACTCTACAAGGCTCTACAGTAGGACTTAATAATAAAATTACATGTTTTAAAATATGAGATTTCAGTGCTTCATTTTAGCCTCCATTTTGGCCAATTAAGCCTTCCTGGGATGAGAAACATCTAAACTTAGAGTAATAATATTTTTGTTTTAAATATCGGTAATGTTCGCAACACTAGAAACTTAGAGGTTTCTGTGTCACTTCTATGACCCGTTCTCAGATTTGTTCTGTATTCTAAGGATCCGTTAATGAATTCAGTTATTGAAGCCGTAAAGATAAACAATGAAGTTGGAGTATTTTCTACAGAAACGATTTTATTGAAGAAACTTTCGTCTAGAACTAATTCAAATCTTCGAATAAACGTATTTAAATTGACACCTACATGAATATATTAATAACTAGCTTTCGCCCGCGTGGAATTTTGTCTGTCACAGAAAAACTTTATCGCGGCATTCCTGTTTAAAAAACCGGGATAAAAACTATCCTATTTCCTTTCCGGGGACTCAATACACACAGATAGTGTGCCAAATTTCATCAAAATCGGTTCAGTGGTTTAGGCGTGAAAGCGAGACAGACAGACAGACTTACTTTCGCATTTATAATATTAGTATAGACTAGTATAGATATCTCCTAAACAAACCATCATCCCTGAAGATAACAAGGGATGATAAATGATGAAGTTTCATTTCATTTTTCACCATTGTTTTCATTCGATCACCGTCATAATTCACTAGTATGTAAAATCTCAAAATGTAAACTCATTCGAAAATCAGCAACAACGCACATTTTCCTTTCTGTGTCATTGACTTTAAATTGAAATTGCAAAAATAACGCTCTCATCAACCAGTTATTTTTGTTTAGTTAGGTAAAAGATTTCGCTGTATCAACAGAGGTACTTGTTAGTGTCAAAAGTTTCTGTGTGAAACTTGTTGCAAGACCTAATTTAATATTACAAGGTTTAGATTAAGTTGTGGATGCTTACCTATGCTAAAATGTTTATTTTATTTGAATAGATAGATAACAATAGTGTCTGGACAAACCTCAAGAGGATTTATGATACTATTTTAATCAAAAATTTTACATTTAGTTATGGTAGTAGTGTCGATGGGAATGAAGATGTAAGTTACCCACGACACTACCGGTTTGGTAGTGTAGAAGGGAAAAAATATTCCCCACGACACTATTGGTAGTGTGGTTTGGTAGTGCTTTGGGTCAGAAGGGAATATATGTAATAAATAAATAAACACACAAACATCAAGATCAACATGATAACGGTACATAAGTAAAAGTTTATTAGTTTTCAATTTGATCGAGTTCATTTAAGGTTGTTATAGTTGTGACTTTGAAGTGACTTTTATGTAAATAAGGTATTAAATTACTCAGAGGATCTGAGTTCAATTCCCAGGTCACATTATAGCGTAAAAACCACTTTGTGTTTGTTCACAATTTGGTTTTAGTACAGTCGACTGCACATACTATATTTTTTCAAGTTATTATAATTTAGTTTGAGAGAGTAGTGACTCTAATTGCTAAGAAATTTTAATTACTATATTTTCTGTTGGAAAATAGCACCTACTCGTATTTACTACTTACGATTCTGTGTCTTTACCTTCATGTGCTGTCGTCTATAATTATGTAGGTATGTACACCTTGCAGGTTTAGATCAACTCGATCGCCGAAAAGGAGGCGTTATGGCGGCTTATAAAGTTCGAGACTAGGGACTGTAGTTGATAAAGCCTCATCATCATCATCATTTCAGCCTTAGTACGTCCACTGCTGAACATAGGCCTCAGGAAAAGCCTTAATGATAACTATATTAATTACAATGAGTGTACATTTCCTTGTCATACTTTCAGCAATTCTCAGCAGCGTCAAGGCTTAGATAAAGTCAACAGAGCGGACTTTATGTCGACAGCCAAAACGTTAACACAATTTTTCCGATTCCAACTCGCAACTCATGCAAAAACAACTAAACAACGTTCATAAATTTGAAATTGTACTACACCCGTCGGGGGAACTATTACGTAATAGGATTGCAATTGGGCGTGAAATATCTTTGTCGTTTTTAGAGTCGACAGCACTGATTCAAAATTATCACCTATAACAACTGCTTAAAAATGCCAGTGCTAATCTTAAAGTGCTGTCAACTGCTGTAATTAATTAACAATATTTTAAGTAACTTTAGCATAGAGTCAACCAAACTGTAAGTAAGCGTTAGCTAATATAAATGAACAATAAGTAAGTTCGTTTCATTCAACCAAATTCTGTCTTCTGCTGGTCTCGTCCCACGGATTTTCACAACATAATAGGTAGGTAGGTACTTAAGGTACACTATTAAGTAAAGTCTAGTATAAACGGGTCTAACATAGGGTCCCTTTTGACCCCGCCGGGATTTTATGTTGATTGATTCGCGAACCACTGGACTAGGCTAGCTAGATTTTTGATAGCAACTGTGGCAACTGTCTCAACCCTGCAACATGCCATCCCTTTACTTAATATTCCTGGGCTAGCACCCCGGTGGAAGCGCTCGTGAAATATTCTTATCCAGTGTTTATTTAATGAACTCCAAACAAGCCGGTCTGTCGCGAGCTGACCGCGCTGCAGGCTGCAAGTCGCAAATAACCTGCATTTCAGCTTCCTACCTTAGTATTTGAGGTATCTAGGTAGATAAAGGAGAGGGTTGACGGGCTTTAGGCATGATTAGTGCAATGGCGGCCAGATCTATTGGAATAAAAGTACTATATGGCGGATTTACACTGCGCGGAAATTAGCAGAGTCAAGTCTTGACTTGACTTGGCTAATTTCCGCGCAGTGTAAAACCGCCAATAGATTTAAAAGAGGTTTTAATACTGGTGAAGACGTTAGCAACGTAAATACAGTGTTTATTAATATTTATAATGATATAATTTATTCATTACCTACTCATTATTTAATTAAAGTACTAGGTACTAGTCAGCTGAAGACTTTTAAACAATGGAAAACAAAAAACAGGACGTATCTAATATCTATGTATATTTAAACTTGTAAATCTACTAGTAAATTTACGTGAAAAATCACAAATTAGTTTTGGATTACATAAATTACCGCTAATGGTTGTATCACTTATACAAATATATTCTTTCCATCCCTATCTTTTTGAAGTACATAGTATTTCAGTTTATATGATTGAGTATAAATAAATAGTATACAGAAGCAACCACTTTCCAATAACGTACGTAAATACAAAGTAAGTGAATAATTGTCAATACATAGAGTAACGTATCCCAGTTATTAACATGAGGTAGACTTAACTATGTAGTCCTCGTCTCTAACTCTAAATTGGTAGTACGTAACGTTAATAGGACTGCGGCTGTTCCATTATCCGACAATGTAACTAACCTGATGAACACCACGGCGGAATAACATTGTTTTGCGATATATCACTGCTATTAGTGCTTTCGCAAGCCTTCCTGTATGCACTTCGGGTTATCATAACCATTTAGGAGTATTTATAACGTAAAATTATCAATAATAATATTTCTAAGAAGTTATAACACTTAGCCAACTTGATTAAAAATATTTACATGCATATTTTATAATCTGTGCGTTTTCTTTGGCGCCATTTTGATTAAGAAAGTTTTTTGTATTTCGCGCCAAGGAATTCACGATTATACAGTTACGTAATTATTTTTTATACTTTTTAAATGCTTTATTATTTAGAGCACATTCATGCTTGTGAAATCTAAATCCTGATTAAAACAAAAATGTCTCATATTTTTTTTATTTTTTTTAATATGGTGCTAAATGGCGCTAAGTCTATTTGTTTTTTTTTCATGTGGTTTGCAGATGTAGCCAGTGTCAAGTATAAGATAATAATTATTTGTTCTTCCGGCGAAGAAAGAGTAAATCTTATTTTAATTTATTTTTTGTTTTAATTATGAAACATACCTAGATACCATATTATTTGGTAAGTAGTGAAATTAATGGCAAACTTTCTTTTACCAGAGTGTTCTACAAAAAAGTAACTCGGTGACCCTTGTACCGTTAGTTCCTCAGATCATAGAAAGAGAATAGATATGAAGTCGCGCGTAACTACAACGAGAACCAGTGTCCCCACATTTCCCCCACCACAGCTCCCACACACACATTCAACTGTGTAAAAACAAAGCGACTGAGAGTCTACGACAACATGTGCAACCGGCTTAAAAGTGCTGTGATTGGCCAGAAGGCGTGCCTTATGGCCAATCAATGGCCGCGTGACGTGACGCACACTTTGAAAAAAGCAATTAGAGAGAAGAAAGATAAAATGGAGTCGATAAGATATCGATACTTTAAATCCTGGGGGCAAGGCTCGAAATTGGTTTAAAAAATGCTTGTATGAAAACCTTTTTATTATTATACGTTATTATTATGTTCTTTAACGATTTTTGCATAAAGGAGTCAGTTCCATTTTGTATGGACGAAAAACTCAGAATCAATTATTGGGACTAAATGAAGTTACCTTATATTAATTTACCCCAACCAAAGCTCAATGTCGTTATCGATGGAGTATAGAAGTTATAGACTGACAAAGTTTGTATGAAAAGTCATGGGTTAAGTAGGTACTTGCGATTTTTACCAGTATTTACAATATTGGTAATATATTATTATTTACTTTAATAATAATAACAGGATCACTGTAATTATTATTAACTACTATCGCGCATTAACTTTTTAATTATGGCGAAATTCGTACCGCCTATGTTTATCAAAAATAATGCCTATATTAGGCTTTCAACTAGCTCTTATAGTAATTACATAGTTGACAGTTACTAATCCCTTCTACTATTGTTATTGTTTTTGTAAAAACTTAAAAATCGCAAGCAACTCATGATTTTTTCATTCAAAATTAGAAAATAGAAAATAATAATTTACTTCTATTTATCGATAATAGGAAACCGTATTAGAACACGAGCCCTGCACTATGTTACGACCGGCACATGCGGCCGTACTGTGTATTTTCACGCGTCAGTGGATATCGGAAGAAATAAAATACATTGCGCAGTAGTTACGCATGACATAAAGTGGTTGCTATCTAAATCGTCAATGTACAACGTGTTAGAATTTTTATCACCACTAATTTCGATATCGTAGTAAATGTCACGGCACTGAATTCGTTCGTAAAAATGTTTAGTTTTTTTTATTTATAAGCAAAATACCAATGGATTTGCAATACTTACATGTGGTAAATGACTTCATTGTTCCTGTAGTTCTTCGTTTCACTTATGTTATTGCACGTTACGACGCATTATCCAACAATATCGGAGAACATTTCCTCAGTACGACTGAATCGCGACTAACCTGGCGTCGCGGGCGATGTTCGTTTCTGGGCATATCGCGGAGACACGCGCCACGCCCCCGTTTCACATCTATTCCCTTCTATGATCTGAGGTTAGTTCGAATTAATTACAATGTCATGATTTGGTCTTGCGTAAAATCTTCAAATTCAAATTTCATGGCCGAGGTATTAAATCAAATACGGCCTTTGAGGCGGAACAGTTTGAAAACTATGTTCGTGATTGTGGTTGTTTTTTTTGTTGCTTCGCAAGCCGGTGCTCAGGACCATGCGATGAGCACGGAATCTCCTTCACATTCACCTTCGCTACCGTTCTTGGACCTATTCACAGGTGCGTCGACTTACTACGGTGATACCATACGCAAGACATACGACCCCTACGCCGTATCTTGTCCAAAGCCAGACACGCTATCAACATTTGCCAACGTCTTGGGAAGCGCGGCGAAGATTATGCTCTCCGCTGCCGTTATCGTATTCCTCAAGATATTGGCAGGAAAACTATTGTTGGCGCCACTCCTGTTTGTGTTCGTAGCCAAGCTGGGATTGAAAGCATTCTTACTTTGGCCGATGATATCAAAGTTGATGAAGTACTTCAAAAAGAAAAAGAAGAAAGGTCATAAGGGCAGAATGATCACAGATTGCTCTCAAAGGATAGCGTGTGTGATTCAGAGAGCGTCAAAAGGCTGGGGAAGCAATTTAGGAGCTGCGGTCACATTCAGCATGATAGACGACGTTGACGAGGACACTTCATACGCGAAAGCCATGCTGAGTATTTTGTCAGGTGACAAGGTCGCCGAATGTATGTCACTGGACTGCAGTTCTGGTATTGACATTAGCTGACGGCCTTTGTTTACAAAATATGTAGCTGTGTAGAGTGCTTAGTTGTTCGTATTACTAACCCAGATGTGTAAATTACAAAAGCGCAGAATTGCAAATTGGTGTTTCAGACTTTTATAATTATGTTCGAATTATTGATTCAGAAGTCATTTAGTCGCCATGGGTTCGAGGTGTACTTTGTTGTTTGTGCTGTTAATTACGCCACATGTATTTTGTCGTGCGGGTGAACCGGTGATGTTCCTTCCGCCTCTTGAAGTCCGGACTATGAGAGACCAACCAACACCGTTTGTGGGCAACCAGCAGTTCCAGACGAGAAACCCTATAATGTCCCAGACGCAGCCTCAGATACTTCACACTAGAGCACCGCAATCAAGAACTATCCCTTCTTCCACTCGTCTGGAAAATTTGGAGAAAGACAAGTTAGAAGCTAAAAACCTCACGTTATCACAACTTCTGGAAGCGGTGACCAATTCGGACGAGAATAAGGTTGAATATAACGAAGTGCCAAGAGCTGCGGGTATCGATATTCCTTCCTACGGGTACCAACCTCCTTCGTCCGGGTATCAGCAGCAGGACTATGGGTATCAACCTCAACCTTCGAGCTACGGTCAATACAACGGGTACAACGAGGCTGCACACATCCCCCCGAAGGCAGCACATCACACATCATCGAAGTTATCTCTCCTGAAGCCGGACTTGAGTGAGCTACTGAAGCCTGTATCGACCAAAGTTGCCAGTAAAGTGAGCGGAGTAATCGGCTTAGTGCTCGCCTTGCTTACGGGATCCTCGCCAAACGATCCAGAAATGAAGGGGTTCAAGGATATAGTTATAAACGGCATAGTCAAACCTCTTTTGCTAGCCAAAGGAGGGTTAAAAACGCTTATAAGTAAACTTACTATTCCAGTGATAGCGTTGCTCCTTATCAATTTGGAAGTATTGATTACTGTATGGTGGCTATGGGAAGATTGCCCGGAGCCTGTAAGACCTTCACCACCTCCGTACACTTACCCTAAACCTTCGTACGAATACAACTCTTATTAGTGATTAATGTAATTAACTCTTTTATCCCAGTTAAACGTGTAAATAGTAGACATTTATTTATGTTATGAAGACTGAACGTGTAAGCGTTATGTATGTTAATTTAAATAAATTATTTAAAAATATTTTGTTTCATTCTGTCCTTGTATTTAATTAACTTAATTTGCAGCAACAATGAGAATCCGCATTTTTATTTTTATTACTCGTTCGTATGAGTATTGTCTACTTACTTGAGTATGCATTTTAATTATTTTTTATTACATGCATTATGCAATACTATTGGATTGATACGCATTACTTACTTACTTTTAACTTACAGCTAACTTAACGTAGACTTTATGAAATTTTAACACAATTTAGTTTTTATATTTAAACAATAAGTCTAATTTTTGCTTGATTAATTTTAACAAAGGGTTACAAAAATAGCAATATAAATTCAGCAGGTTTAATAGATTTTGCGCTTGACATAGTTTTTGGCTTCTTGAATATGTTGTTATTTCATTCGACAAACGTTTTAGGACTTCGAAATAGAAACCCGCCTACACAATTCTAGAATTCCATAGAGACATTGTCGAAATCACAAATATGTAGGTACCATTAGGGTTCCAATAAATTTAATTAGGTTAATTGAACAGCGGGCGCTGCGCACTAAGAAATATCCACTGGTGTTGCTCAGATAGGTAGAAAAATATTAGGATAATATAGTTCTAATTTTATGTAAATTAAATAAGTCCGTTGAAGAAGTGAGTATGTCTCATTATAATATTTTTATTATCTTTAAATATAAGTACTTTATGTTATGTATTCAATCAATATTTGTAACACTTTTATACAATTACTAGCGGCCGCCCGTGACTTCGTACGCGAGGATCCCGTTTTACCTCCTTAAGGGTTGAATTTTGCAAAATCCCGTCTTAGTGGGCACCTACGTTCTAAAAGGAACCCCCATGTAAAATATAAGACTCCTAGCAATTGTAGTTTCTGAGATTTCGTGATGAGGGAGTGAGTCAGTGACCTTTCGCTAAAAGCAGGTATAGATTTAAATTCTGTGAAATACTTGAAACAAGAGCGTAGAAATTTGAGGAGAAAACTGAAAAACTGGCATTCCTAGAAATTAAATTTCAAAACTGTAATGATTGAAATCTAATAGGCTAAGTTTCAGAGAAATTATTTCAATCTAATCGAGAATCTGTCTCATTTCACATTAAATATCAATCGATAGAAATGAAATTCAAAATTCATTGTCATTAAAAGTAGCATCGATATTAAAATTTATTGATGATTTCATT